GTGTGTGTGTGTGTGTGTGTGTCTGTGTGCGTGTGTCTGTGTGGTCGGCCGCTCTTTTGAACCTCTTGTTAAGTGGCATCTGAGTGGACCCCGGAGGAGGAAATTAACTTAAGGGTTAAAAAAGTGTTCCTGTTCCTGGACTGTGCTTCCTCACAGGGTTTTTTTCTCCTCTCGACTTTGTGATGCATCGTATGAAATGTTTTACTTTAATTTCTGATAGCAGATTATAAAAACTCCAGTGCAGTGTTTTCATTTGATGTCATGTTTCTAAACTGCACACACACACAATCATCAAAATCACACACTGTGTTTACAAAGAGAAGTAGGTTACAAATCATTTGTTCAGAGATGAGAAACAGGAAGAGAGCTAAGAGAAGGAAGAAAAATGAAAAGTTATAATTTTGTAACATATAGAAACTTAAAAAGTAGATATAATTTAATGTAGTATGAAGAACATCAACAAAGAACAGGATAGTATAACACAGTAATCTGGAAGCTGGACCTAACTAAGAAGATTCTGGTATTTCTGATTGATTTGAAGAACATCAGCGGAGTCGTTCAGCAAATAAAAATCATCGATGCCTTCACCCTCAAACAAAACAACATCTGGATTGTTTTATTATAAAGACATCAGAGGGGAGCTTTGCATTTTCATCTGTGTATTCATTTAGTGCATCTGGTGTCACACAGCATTTGTTTGTGTGTGTGAGCGTCTGTGTGGATAAATGTGTGTATCCCTCCTGGGATCCTTTCAGCCCAGCAGGTAATTGAGTCCTGAGAATGCGGACTGGATTGTGAAGGCCACCGTGGGCTGACCCCCCACACATGGCCATTCCTGTACTGCTATACCTGACTGGACTCTTCAGCAGTTACTTCCTGTCTGCTGCTGGTGAAGTGTCTCTGACAGAACGACATCGCCTGACCTGCTAGCTATCGACTGAACACACAACTTCTTCTTCAAATGAACTAACTATTTACTCCTTAAAATAAGCTTTTCCTGTTTTTTAAACTGTCAATAAAGTCACCATCTTACTTCTTCATATCTGTATGAAAGGCCCCTGCTGTGTGAGATCATTTGGTAGTTGATATTGCAGAGGTGGGTGTTGGCCAGTAGATGGCACTCTTTCACCATGCAATGCAGCCGTTTGCTTTTGTTTACATGTTTCCTTTGAGAGCTTGAACAGCTGTTTAACCTGCCATGTGAAATTATTATTATTAGTAGAACTGATTTGTAATTATGTTGAGAGTTTGTGTAGATGCTGGAGAGCTGGTGCAGAGTCTGTTTATTTTGTTTTTTTTTTGTGTTTGCCTTGCAGATCCACATGAATCCACAATCTAAACCCTGTGATCAATCCACGTCTTTACTAACATCACCTTAAAATACAATCTGCACATAAAACATCTGAACTCATTAGGTGTTCTTGGGGACCCCCTACAGTATCTAGTCCTGTCCACATGTATATCTATCTCTGCCCTGTGAAGTGCTGTCCAGATTTCCATCATAACCTGACTCCTTTTTTGTTTTTGGCAGGCTTCAGAGGTGAGGTGCCGAACTCAAGACAAACAGCTCCTCTTCATCAGGTTGTTGTTCAGGATCTCTAATGATTGCTGCTTCTGTTTCCTGACCTGATCTGAGCTGGAGGTGCAGGGGAAGGCCGGCCAGCACAGGGTGGTCCAGGGACTCAAGACTATGGAGGTGACAGGGGTCCAAAGGAAACCTGTTAGGTGCCTTCTGCGGCCTGAAACTCAGGGCTAGAAACGTGGCTGAGAGATTTGTGGTTAGGGGATTCAGATTGAGGGTAAATGTATCCTCAGCCTGGGAACCACCTGATGAAAGATTAATGGGTGGGGGGGGACAGCAGCTCGGACCGGTTTCAGGACATTTCCTTCTCTCTCACACATCGGGCTCCAAAAATGTCAGTATGGAAAAATACTTCCATTTGGCCTCCTGCTCTGAACCACCTTTCTCTCCTTTGAGGGGTCTTTCCCTTAGATTTTTCCACCTCCGTCTACAGAAGTCCCCTTTAAACGACCAAATACTTTTAATACAGATGATCTTTGCCGGTTAATGAATGAACAGAATACTTCTTGATGAACTCTGAATAATTCTGTTAAAGTCTGTTTGTCTTTTCTGAGTTTACTTATCTTGATATGGAGAAATAAATACATTTTAGTTTAAAGGAGCAATATCTAACTGTGACACCTAGTGTTTAAAATGGGTACTGCAGTCTGGAATCTAAACATTGTAGAGAGCGGTCTCTCCCCGCCCCCTCCTCTCTAGAGTCACACGGGTTACCATGTTGCAGACACTGAAGCTTCAGTGTTTAGCCAGCTCTGCATGGGTCTGTAAACCTTTCTGTGTTCTAACTGTTGGAGCCATGGATTGATATAATTGTCTTTGTGGTATTATTTAAGGTTAAGGTAGTTTGTTATATATTGGTGTTTTGGGTTATTGATTATTATATCATTTATTAGGATTGTGTTGAGTAGGGGGATGTCGGGTCACATGGGTATGGGCGGAGATGTGTTGATTTAACTCACCTGTTCACCTTTTGTTCTCAGTGGAAGAGAGGGGGTGAGCTGGGTGGCCATATTTTTTGTTGACCGCTATTGTTTCTAGTTCACTGTGATTATAAGTAGATTATCTTTTTTTACGTTAATAAAAAAGTCAAACTTATTGTTACGTATCACAGTATTCTTTTGAAAGCGCGTCAGACAAATATATTAGGCCCAACCTCAGCCTCTCAGCGGCTTCATATTCAGGAACGCCGTTACACTAACCTCTCTCCATTTTTCAAAGAGCATCTCCAATATTGATCCTAGTTTGAGCACGTTTCTGCTCGTGGAGCTTATTAGAAACATGCAGAGGCTACTTTGTAGTTGGTGAAGTTGTGCCAGAAAACTCTCCTCCTTTAAATTTGAGTCAGGTCACTAGTTGTCATATTTTGCTCAAAAGTTGGGTTAGGTCCGGGGTCAACATTTTGAATCCAATTTGGGTGATGATCGAACATTTTTAAACGCAGACATTAAGTGTAAATCCCTAACGATGTTCTCTTAAGTGTTTTAAAAAGATTCAGAGTTATTATGAAACAGGATGTGTGTGTTTACATCAGTGTGTAGCTCTTGTAGTGAGTAGTCATGTTCTTGTGTGTGTACCTGGTCGTGGTGGAAGAGGCCACAAACATTTTACTGGAATACCTGTCAGCGGGCAGCTGGCTCGTTAAATACTCTCCAGAGGTTTGGTTGTGCTGGACATGTGGCACAAATGTTTCTTTGACTCAAACACCACAACAATAGTGTTGTTTGTTGCCCTTCAAATGGAGAAGTTGAGTCATGACAATGAAGCATTTCTCACACATGCTCTCCTGCTGTTTGGAGGGAACAGAAATCCCTTTGAGTGCAGACGCAGCTCACAAATAGTCAAATCAGTTTCTATAAAAATCATCTCAGGTCACTTCCAAGCACAAATCAAAGCCACATGCATCAGAGGTTTGACAAAGACTTCTCTATCTTCTCGCTCTTGTAAGTCTCCGTCACCGGGAGGAGGAATATTGTTGAATGTGGGAGAAGTCTGAGAAGCCACAGCTATGTCAGCGAGCTGGGCCTTGGCCTCCGTCTTTGCGGCGGATCCTCCTCCTCCTCGTCTGGAAGCTGTTGAGTTTTTCTCCAGATGTGGCCGCGTGATCTTTTTAATGATACACTGGAGCAGGCAAAAGAGAACAGCAGAAATGGAGGTCACACAGAAACGACTGCATGAGAGGCGGCTTGTCTTTGTGCTTTTCTTTTAGCTAAAAATTCTACTTACATTAGAAGATTTGTATGAAGTTTTGAGGTTCTGCAGAGAAAAGAACTCTGTAAAACTGTTACACAATCAGGAGGATGTTACAGTTTAGCTCTGGAGCTCTTTTCCCTGGAAGGCACAGCTGAGATCACTTTTTTAACAGAGGAACAACGATCACATCTTTAGAGCGAAACATAAAGAGACAAAGAGAGAGGGATGTCTTCAAGCTGTTAGAATCAGGATGTCACACTGCAGATCTATAGTTCAGCTTCAGACACATTCAAGGAAAAGAACAAACGTGTCTTACACAGTTTCTTTAAAGTCAAAAGGAATTTCCTCCCGGAGACATCTTTTTTTTTTCTCTCCTGTCACGTTCACAGTTTGGAAAATGCCAGTTGCTCCAACAGCAGGTGTCTTTGACTTGGTCATCGTCCAGACAGAGAACAGGTTGCACAGCTGTCTGGCACACACACACACACAAATGAGCACACACAAGCAAGAAGAAAAAAAGAATGAGAAAAAGCGAGGCTCTTAATGAAAGACAGCAAACATCTTCTTTTACTCGGGTGAACCCGGGGTTCTTGTTGGACCAGCTCTGGCAGGGAGACGCTCCCGCTGTGTCTTTTGTATGTGCAAGTGGACCAAACAAAAGCTGAGGGAGGAATCTCTGGGAAGCCCGAGCTGTCGGAAAGGAATGCCCCCCTCTCTCTCTCTCTCTCTCTCTCTCTCTCTCTCTGTCTGTTCTGGCTCAGAGCTGCGAGTCTTAATCAGTCTGCAGAGGGGCCCGGCTGAGCTGGGGGCCTCCGGGACCCGGCAGCCAGACAAGGACTCAGTCACTCCTGACCTCAATTGCTTCAATAAAAATCTATTAGCTGAACACAGAGGAGTAAAAGGCCCCTGATGTGATACAGATAAATCAGAGTAATAGCCCCCATTAGACTTTTCATGGTCATACATCCAAGTCCTTATGTAATCTCTTTATTCATCCATGATGTGGTTACACACGTAGATGCAGAAGCTGCTTCTTCTTCTGTGAAAAAAACAAGCAAACAAAACAATCAGAGCTAGCTTTTCAAAGTAAAAGCTGAAGAAAATCAGAAAGATAAAGGGTGTGTGTGTGTGTGTGTGTTTCTCTCTATAAGAAGGCGGAGTTTTTCTCCCAGGGGTCCCGAGCCAAACTGGTGTTATGTAACGGATCGGCGGCTCTTCATCCTGATGAGGAATCAGCCGAAAGTTTACATGCAGCGAGTCTGTCTCAAGTCCGGTCTGTGGTCGTGGAATATATTTCAGCTGTTGCGCTCACAGAAGAGAGGAAAGTTGACCTTTTGGAGCTTTCTTTTTCCTCCGTGCGTAAAACTAATTTAAAAGTGACCTTACCGGATCTATTCTGTGTTGGTTAATGTTCAACTCTGGAAAGAAAGAAAGAAAGAAAGAAACTCTGATGTTCCTGGAAGTTTGGCAATGGGACGTAACATTTAGACTTTGAGAGCAAAGCAAAGATCGGACATGGGCAGCGGGACAAGCCGAGGGAAGAGAGTAGCACCTGCGTGCGTCAGTGAGGTGAACGTGGCCAAAGCAGCCGGCGCGTCGCCCAAACAGGACAGCCGCGCGTTCAAGCCTCTCAAGATCCATGGCATTTTGCGAAACGCGCGCAACCGTGCGCAACCGGACAGCCACAGCGAGGGGCACGACTCCGACTTCTCCCGAGAGGACGATGACGTCGACGCAGAGCTGGACACGGTGCTCGCGGATGACGACGAGCGAGACAGAGCTTCCGTTAAGAGAGATCTTCCAAAGAAGGCCGCGATGAGGTCCAAGACATACGGACTGTGTCACTTCAGACAGGACGATGAAGAGGAGGACCTCAGCCCCAAAGACGTAAACAAGAGGAGCAACGACGCTGTCACACACTTCAGAAAAAACACACCTGCGTCAGCCTGTCAGCAACACGTAAGAGCATTTCAATCTAAAGATTTCTTTGCACAAATGAAGAATGATCTGCTAGTTTGAAACAGTTTCACTTTGACCAACAGTAAAGAATATTTCCTTTTTTTTTTTCATCATCTTTTTATTTGGGATGGGTATACAACGACCACCAAACTGTACACAGAATGTCAGTGTATCCCTTCCCTCCACCAACATGAACACATACATAGGCCTCCATGCATACACAGAAAAACAAAGCAAAAACAAGAAAAACAATCCTAACTGTAATACTAATAATACTCTTCATAATAATAGTAAAAATAATAAGAGGAGACAAAAAAAAGAGGGGGAATAAATAAAAAAAATAGATATTATAACATCATAGCATTATCATTGTTGACAACCTTTAGAAAATTCCTCCAAGCAACAGGTCAATGGAAGCCAAAAGTCCTGAAAAATATGGCCACGGTTACATTTTTCCAAAGTTAGTTTCTTTAACTTTGATCCAAAAACAACTTAAAGGTTGGCAGAGATTCATTTTTTCCCAAAAAGTAATATACATTTCTTGGCAAAATATGTTATAATTATTAATATTCTGCATTTTTTTTCTATCTAAATGAAAATCTGAGAGAATCTTTCCTGCATAATAAATTACTCCTGGGATTTATTTAAATTTAGTCTTTTTTTTTTCTTTTTTTTAATCTCTGGTTTGTGTCTCTCCTCCTCTCAGGGCTTTCTGACAGGAGACACTTTGCTGGACTCTGTTCCCACATCAGGACAACAACCGTAAGTAGACCACAACACTCGTGAATCATTGATTCCCAGACTCAAAGGAGTAGTAAAAAAAAACGGAGAAGGGGTCCAGATCAAGTTCTCTTTTAAAGAGATCGAAATACCAGCCCTTTATTGTCGGGGGCGGATCAGATTAGTCTGACATCTGCAAGAGGGACAGAAACAAACAGAAGTGAGTTGTTTCCTTGTAAAGAGCAGGAGGTGGAAACCTGAAGCAGAACGAGCAATGGAGCAGATTTGCATAAAATGTCAGAAGCTCAGCAAGGCAGCATTTTTTTTTTTTACCACGACCTTTTTCATCCTATGTAGAAGTTATTATCAGATCATTTCATTTAAAAGTATCACTCATACTTCCTGTTTTTTTGTAATGCTATGCTTCTCCTCTCCCCAGGACTTTTGGCACCTGCCACAGCTCCTCTCATCCCATGCCGGTCATCCTGTACGATGGATCAGAAGAAGAGCTGATGGACACTATTGTCAGAGAGTTTAGTTGACCCCCAAGCTGACACCGCTGCAGGAAAGTTGCCATCCTCTTCAGCTGCTGTCACGGTGCAGCAAACCTGTAAAAAGTAAAAGGACACCAGGGTTTCTTTTTGACAGATTCCTGCCTCTAAGGAATGCCTTATTCGCTTTATTCACCTTTTCTGTGTTGATGTGAAAACCAGCACTCCAGACCTTTTGTATCTAAATCTTATTTAACTACATGAAGCAGTGTAATTGAAGTTATAACAGCATCTTGAACAGACGCCAGGAGGTTCTCCTTTACAGACAGAGGCCTCCCTGGTTTGTTATCTTCAGTGGTAAGGTGTCACTCTCACCTCCTTGAAGCAGCCAGACCTCCCACTTATTTGTCAGCTATCACTTCCTGTTCTTGAACTTGTCTGTTAAAAGGTAAAGGAGAGAACATGGATGTGCTCAAACTCAGCAAGGAACATTCTTGAAGCTAAGAAAACATTTTTCCAGCAGCAGTTCTGTGTGTGCACCTCTTTTTTTTTTTTTACAGAGGTGACCCTGCAAAGGTACGAGCTGGGATGTTTATTTAAGGTTTTCCTTCCTGCGTTTTACTTCTCCACCCTCATGAAGAAGGAATGTGTGGTCGAGGAGACTCTCAGTCAGCCAGGTTCAGGCGCTTTGAAACTTAAAGGCCTGCTGCCACTTAGTGGTGAAACACAGGAGTTGTGCACCATCCAAGAGGTTTTACAGTTCAGCGCAAGAGAAATATTAACCAGACATGTAGAGGAAGGCTTTTGTGAATCTGTGCTGCAAATTAAAAATGTACCATTGTTGTACGGCTCGTTGTCATGTGTGGAAACTTTTTGCCTTCAAAACTTCAAAATACCTTTCAAGAGGGCGCCGGTAGCTTAGTGGTTAGATAAGATAGATACTTAGCATTGATCCCTCCAGTAGCAGGTTACACAGACGTACATGACATGAAACATTTGTTACAAATTAACCACAAAACCGACGCCCCCCCCCCTCGCCCTCCCCCCGCCCCCTGCCCCATACATATATATATTAACCTGAAAAAAAGATTGAAAGAATCCCCCGAGATGAATCAAACTTAAACTGTGCAATTAAAAAACAGACTTATACAAGAATAACCTGTGCAGGGATAAAAATATATGTTGCACGCCCCACGTACAGAGAGGCTGCAGTCTTCATTGCAGCAGCTGTGGGTTCAAATCCGACTTCTGCCCTTTGCTGCATGTCAACCCCCCCACTCTCTCTCGCCTCCCAACTCTCTTCAGCTGTCCAAAATGGACCCAAAAAATATCTTTAAAAGACGAGAAGCTTTCAAGTATAAAAATCCACATCAGGCAAAAAAAAAAAGTGTTCAGCATGCCGTTTAATCTCACAGCCATTAAAGCAACTTTCTTTATAATATACCAGCAGGCAGACTGTACACATGAAACCCACAGCGTCTGTAAAACCCCAAAAAATTAAACACCATAAAATGATAAATACCGATTAAGAAGAATAAAAAAGGCCGGCCCTGAGCGTGGCTGAGATGTTCACACTGAAGGAAGGACAGTACTGGAATAAAAGGATGTAAAACAGTTTTGTGTTGTTGGCAACTTGAGACGTCACGGTGACTCAGATTTCGGCCTCTTTGACGACTCAGATTTCGGCCTCTTTGACGGCCTGTAGAAACACATCCTCGTCTGGACTGCCGTCAGGAGTTTGGACGGCAGGAGAGGCAGCTGATGTCGGAGGGGGTCTGAGTTCCTCGCGCTCTTTGCGATGTAATCCACACAGATCTATCAGAGGACAGAGTCGTTGGTTATTTTGCATTTCTATGTTGGGGGGAAGTTTACATAATCAGAGTAAAAACATGACCTTTTTTAATTTTAAGATGTATTTTGGGGATTTTCATGCCTTATTTTAGAGACAGACAGAGAAGGAGTCAGAAACAAAGGAGGGACAGAGAGGGAGACATGCGGGAAAGGAGCCACAGTCGGATTCAAACCCGGGCCGCCCGCTCTAGAGGACTTAAGCCTCTCTACATGGGGCGTGCGCACAACCACTAGGCACCACCACCACCCCAAGAATCATTTTAACCTGCATCACAAGAGAAGCACAGAGGGAACTGAAATCAATTTTGAAGCAACCTAAAAAGTCAATCAATCTTGTTTGAATGGCACCAATATAGACAGGTTAAAGACCTTACTCATTATTACAAAAGACTCAACGTTAATCCATCATGAGCACTAAGCAACATTTAGCAAAGTTACAGTGGAGAGGAAATAAACGTCTTCTAAGAGACATCTTGTGCAGAAACAGACTCATGACGAACAGAGTCGTGTGATGTGAACTCTGAGGACATTTTTTAAAAACAGATGAAGACCCATTTATTTAGACTTGCTTTTGTCCGTCTGTTGTCACCTGTATTAAACGTCTTCTTTATTAAATCTCTTATTGTGACGTCTGATGTTGTTTACCTGAATAGAGGATACGGCTGCGTCTGGAAGACAAGTGCAGTTCTCACATCAGCGCCACTCAGACTTTATGCAGAAAAAGAAATAATAAGGAGCTGACAGGAGACACTCTGGATAAAGTCCGAGTGGCTGTTTGCGTTCACACATGCAGCTCCTATCTGGAGTTTTTCAGGCGTTTTCTGCAAGTGTGAAAGCCCTAAACGAGTGAGAGATTAGGGACACTGAACGGCCTCTGAATACATCCTGTTTATGAAGTTGAGCTTCCTTTCACATAGCTTCAGAAATGTTCTGTGTTAATGTGAAATCCTGAACCCTTTACTAGTTCAGTGTCATGATTTCTTAAGAGCTGTTCAATAGAGAACAAACCGAATGATGTATTTTTATAGGCCAACCCTTAAGTAGCATCGCCATGGGGGTCTAATGAGAATTCTCCTCTGGGATGTTTTTATTGGATTTTGGATCATTGCAGAAAATAATCTCTGTGGTAAACACACGTTTCTGAAGCGTAGGCGTTTTGTTCAGCAGGATAATCTCCACAGATGAACGCCATTTTTATGATGTTTGAAGAGTTAATGCGGCCGACAGAAGTAAAAAGCTAACGTTATGCTACAAGCTAACTACACCACGGTCGGATGATTGTGACGTCACGTTATGCTTCAGACGATCTCCGATAAACTAATCCACGTAGCTTAATAAATAGTTTACTAACATAAATTCACCTTAACCTAAAGATTAAACCTACAGGAACATCTCCGACTAGTGAGAGAGTTCCCGCCCTCTGTGTCCGGCGTGATGACCTTTAATGTCCCCGACAACCACTGTAGTCACATTTAGCCGCTTGTTAGCAACCGCCTTTTTAAAGACGAGTAAAAACTTAAAATTTCACAAGTGGAGGTATTACCTAACGTAGTTTATGCGGTCTAACAAAACACCAACATCTCTTCAGCTTGTGTTAACCACAGACCTTATTTCAGGCGTCTAACCACAAACACATTCAAATCCCGTTGACTTTCAGACGTTAGACCCCATGGCGCTTAAATGCTAACTTACTTCCGGGTTTTAGGACTCATTCCTGTGGCGCTCTATAAGAAGAGCTCCTCATCTCTCTCTTTTCTATCTCACAAAGTGTCTCCTGTAATACTCACAGTGTCCACAAGGAGGATGTAGTCACAGCTTCCACCGAACACGATCACATCAGAGTCTTTGCCTGGACAAGCCGAGTGCCACAACCTGGAACATGAGGAGAAACCGTTTTTCTTTTTTTAAAATCTGCACGTAGAAATACTGAAACCAGAAGCTAAGTCTAATATCGGTAAGTTGGCACCTCGGCTTCGTCTTAAAGGGATGCTCCACTTCTCTCCACGTCTTTGTTTCCACATCAAACAACCAGCCGTCACCTGATCAAGAAAAAAAACATTTAAAGATCATGCAGTGATCAGAGTCTGCGAGCAAACAGAAGCGGAGAAGTGGATGGATTTTTCTAACTCATTGGTTTGCAGTCCACGCTGAGACCTCCAAACAGGAACAAGCCGTTGTCTGATACGGCGGTGAGCGTGTGCCACGACCTGCCCACCGGAGTGCTCGACGCCGGGACTCTGGAAAAAAAAAAAAAAAACCCCTGGCAACATTTAGGCCGTCTCACTTCATCGTGTACATAGAATCATATCAACAGATTTTAGAACTTCCCCGCACATTTCTGACCACGTCCACGATTCAAGGTCAAGGCAGTGGATGTCGTTCGTCCTGGTCTCCTGCATTTGAATAAGAGAAGAAGAAGCTGTGAGTGTGCTGTGTGGTGTTTTTAATCTCCTGATATGGAAGTAAAAAAGCATGACGAGTTCTCACCATGACTCGACCTCCACAGATATACCCTCTGCGTCCAATCGTGGCGCTGGCATGAGCAGCTCTCGGGGCGGGAGCGCGACCCTGCACACGCAAACCATCACATCAAATCAGCTGAAGATCGTTGCTACATGTTTGTGGAGAATGTGGGTCATTTTTATGTCCTGTAAGTCGATGCTTTGGGAGCGATCTGATTTATTTCAGAAACTCAATGGTGATTGGAGGTTGTGTGGTCAGGTGGTACAGCAACGTGTTTACAGGTTACAGGTAGTAGACGTTATTTGGCCCGGTGTCAATGACATCATAAAGGACTCACGTGGGTCTGCGGTTGACTCCAGCTGGAATGCATGGGGTCAAATGTATGAACCTCGTTGTTCCATCCCCAGAAAATGTCCCCTACCTGAAAACAGCAACAATGCAAAACGGGAAACTTATAAACTGATTTATGAATCAGTACTGATGATTTACAAGACAAATAAACGGACATACTTCAAAAGAAATTGTCATATAAGATGACACCATTAACTCCAAATGACCAAATTGAGTGATTTCTTTTAAAGGTCACATATAATACAAAATATACTTCATGTTTTTCTAACTCTAACATGTGTCTCTATTCTGTCTACAAACCCCCCAAATGATGAGAAAAGTCCATCCTCTCCGTCTTCTGCCTGCTCCACTTTTCAGAAAATGTGTGCTCAAACAGGCCGTTTGGAGATTTTCCCTTCATGACATCACAAAGGGCAGTAGCCCCTCCCCCAGGTGGGTGACACTCCCACAGCTAGGTGTTTGTTCTGTCCTCTGAGTCTGCCTTCTCACCGTAAACAATAGGGCATGGAGCGAGAAAGCCCGAGACACCCAAGCCCTTCCAGAGAGGGGGCGTGGTCAGACACAGCTCATTTACATATTTAAAGGTACAGACACAGAAACAGCCTGTTCTGAGCAGGGCTGAAATAGAGGGGTTTATAGACATGATCAAATACAGGATCAGAGTGGATTTTGTTTTGGGGATCTCTGGATGTTTTTAAACGTGTTGATACGGAGTATGATATGCGACCTTTAAATATTAGTTTTTTCCTTAGCAGCAGTGTTTAGGACGTGAGACACATTCAGTCACTAAAAATACATTACTGATGATGCTTCATCCACAATGAAGCTTCTGTTCCTGCTGTCCACGTCAGTCAGCAGTTTGTGACCGTATCCTCCAAAGTAGACGATCCTGCAGAGCGTCAAACAAACGTGATCTTTTACTGTGATGCAGATCCTACAACATGTGTTTTTGTCTTCTAAAGAGGGAGCAAACTACTCAATCATTAGTACTTGTTTTCATTTTTGTCACCACATAATAAGACATAAGCATGTAGAGTATAGCGGTGGTAAGATAGGATGTGATCTTGTTTATTGTGGAAGTAAAAAAAGAGAAGAGTTGAATAAGAAGGTTAAAATCAAAACTGAAGCTGAGTCAATGAGCACAGAATCAAATCAACAGTTTTCATTATGACTACTACAAACTGTGCATGACTGAGGATAAATTATTTGGACAGAAAATATAAAAAAATCAAATGAGTTAACTTTAAATAAAGCCATTTGTGTGAAGGTGTAGAACATAAACAAAAACAAAAACAGCACATGGGGTCCGGTAGCCTAGAGGTAATATTGCACGGTAATATTGCACGGTAATATTGCACGAGGCTGGAGTCCTCGACGTAGCGGCTGTGGGTTCAAATTCGACCTCGGCCCTTTGCTGCACGTTATCCCCCATTCTCCCTTCTCCCAGCATTTCCTGTTTCTCATCGGCTGTCCTATGTAAAAAAGGCAAAAAACCCCCCAGAAATATCTAAGTAAAAAATAAAACAGGGCACTGGTAGCCTAGTGGTTAGTGCGTGCCCTAAGTATGGAGGCTACAGTCCTGTAAAGGATGCAAACACCAGATTCATAGATTCATAGCACAAACAAACAGCATCTATGAGTCAGAGCCCGATCCTCCTCATGACTGCTCTGATCAGTGAGAATAAAAGTGAAAGCTGCAGCCTTCAGTAACAAAGTGCTGGAGAAAGACGGCAGACTAAAAGTCCGTCTCTCACTCACCTTCCTTTGTAAACCCAGGAGGACAGTTTGTCTCGAGGTGAGGGAGCCGAGCCAACCTGGTGCGTGATCTTCCTCCATGTGTATTTGCCGTCTGTCAGGTTGACACAATAGATCTGTTTGAAGTCAAACACTGATCACTGCTTCATGTCGACTCTGTTCAACTCTGACCTCTGACCATCAGCGAACTGATGATCACAAGAATCAAAGGGCAGAAATGTTTGAAACGTGAAATGTTGCAGAATTATCTGTAGAGCCGATGAGGTGTTTCCTGTTGCACGCCGTCCTGCTACAAAATATATATTTATATATTTTTTTTTACACAGCAAGACACTCACACCCTTAAGGCAAATTTTACATTTTATTTGCTGTCTTAAAATGCTCTTAAGCTCACCGAAGTCATTTCATAATGTGTGAATGTTAAAGTAAAGGCGACCACTCGGCTCGCTCAGGCTCACTTTGAAGACGTTCAGACTGAACTGTAAGGAGTGTCCACAAATCGTCTCCATGACGACGTTCAGACAAGTTGGTACAGCTCCTTCTAAAAGGATTCTCACAATTTCAGTTTAAAAGATTTCATTTAAAAATCCTGACAGTTGTTGCTGCTTCCTGTTTGTATTTGAAGCCAGCACAAAGTTCAGATTAGTTTCTTTGGAATCATTTTAATTTTTTTAATTTTTAATTTTTTCTCTTTCAGTAAGAAATGCTATGCTGGGTTTACTACAGCTTTGTGAAGCCTCAACACTATTTATTATGTTTTTAAATATCTGAATCAGTTGCTGTTGGCCGAACATTTGTGTCTGAATCAGATCAGAACTGAACAAAAGTGGACGGGTGCATCTCTAGCAGTTCTTAGCCTCACCTGATTGGTCTGTCCGAAGTCATCGCAGCCTCCAAATATGTACATGTGACCATCCAGGGAGCAGCTGCAGGTCCCAGACATGGAGGGAGGGACTTCCCCTGGCATGTGAAACACTTTCCTTCAAAATGATTATTTAAAATAAAAATAGTGAATAAACAACTCGTAATCATGTCAGGACACATTTCACACCAACGATCAGACAGCAGAAAGATATTTAGAGGATCATTATGACAGAAAAGTGTTTTTAAAAAAGACTTTTGTCTCCTGACAGACATAAACACAATCAATATGAAGTAATCAGTGTTCTTACCATGAGCCTTGTTCGAGGTCGTACGCCCAGATTTCATCATTGGGTAGAAACACTTCATCATCAGCGACTGACTGAAAATACAACACCTCCATTAAAGTTAAAAACAACGATAACACTTCTCTTTGTTTGTGATTATGTGAGTAAATTATCAACATGAAAAAACATCAAAGCTGAAAGTTGTCGTCTGCTGAATAAACTTTAAGGTCAGAGTGAAACCGTTTTTCTTAGGGCACCATGTGTCTTTACAGAATTTAAAAATCAATGTTTTTAATGTGTTATAAATAGAGCCTAACCGATACAGGTTTTTTGTGTCTGATAACGATATTAGGGAGAGAGAGAAAACGATACCGATATATCGGCCGATGTCTTTCTCAGATTGTATTTCGATCTGTAGAGATAGATAGAGATGGATAAACACATTTATTGCGCTGATCCCTTAAATGCAGTCATCAAACACTTTTAGAAAAGATTGCTTCACCTCTTGACACTCTGGAGAGTGATGATGCTTGTTGTAATCCATGTAGCGCCCTCTGCTGGTGACAGAGAACTGCTAGTGTAATACAATGATGCTCAACTGAAATGCTATTTGACTGGTGAATAAATCGAGTAATATCAGCACATAGCTGCACTAAAATTAGCTGATACCGATAGTCACTGGATGTGCTAATATCGGCCGATATTATCGGCTTGCAGATCAATCGGTCGGGCTCTGGTATTGAGCACTGATGTCACTTTATCATGTTTTGATGAAGGATGCAGAATAAAAAGAATGTGTTAATTTATATCTCTAAAGTATAATATTTGAGAACAAGGAACACTACATGAGTATTTACTGGTGTCCTATTCAATCTATGATCTGTGGTGCTAACTGTATGCTATGGAAGCCCATTTCCGCCAGTAAAAAAAAAAAAAATGAAAATAATAAAGTCTCATAATTTTGACTTTTTATCTCATTATTATGACTTTATTATTTTCATTTTTATTTTTTTAACTGGCTGAAATGGGCTTCCATAGTATGCTGCCTGTTTTATAACTGTGTTTGTATTTTGTTTTATTTTAATTGCTTACTTCACTTTTATAAATGATTGTATCCCTTTGCAGACTTTAAGTTATCTCTAAGTGTCACACTGCTTGCGGCTGCAGACACATGAGAATCTTGAGAAAGTCGTTTGTTGGTTGTTTCTCACCATGTATCCCCCCCACACATACAGCAGGCTGTCCTCCACCACGGCCGTGTGTCCGCTCCTCTCCCGGGCCACCAGCTCCGAGCAGTGCCTCTCAAAAGCGGAATCCATGACTGGCTGCTTCAAAACAGACAACGAAGACGAGTCTTTGAGCCTAAAATTAAACAAATCTGTCTAAAAATATCAAATCGAAAGCGTCATTCGTTTCTACATGTTGTTGCTGTGAGCTTAACAAATAAAATGAGTTAAATCTCCTGTTTTCTCTACAGAAACTGAGTTTACGCAACGTTACAGACAGCTGGGAGGGCTGACGTCACACGGTAGTCGGTAAAACAATCAACAAACGTCATTACGTCACAGTCACGATTTACACACGTGCTTTTAAAATCACATATCGTTATACTCACGTGACACTGCGCACCTTAAAATGCCTAAGAGTTATTTTCTCATGATGTGAATCTCAAAACAACGGCGGCCAAAAATGTCTCTTCTTACTGTCATAACAACCGCTGCAAAATAAAACACAGCTTCCGGTTCTCTTTTCAAAATAAAATACCCCATTGTCTATATGCATGTAGATCGAAAAGCTTTTATTTTAAACTTTATTTATACATTTTCTTCATGATTGTACAGCAGTATTGACAGCAGGTGATTACCAAGTGGTTACAGTATTAGACAAGAAACCCCCTGACCCCTCTCCCATCCCCCCCTCGCTGATTTGGTCTTCTCCTCCTCATCATCCTCTTTATCCTCTTCCTCCTCTACTTCCTCTTCCTCCTCTTCATCCTCTTCCTCCTCCTACTCATCCTCTTTATCCTCTTCCTCCTCCACCACCTCTTCTTCCTCCTCCTCCTCCTCCTCCTCTTCCTCCTCCTCATCCACCACCTCTTCTTCCTCCTCCACCATCCTGCATAGAGTAATAAGCATTGTGTGATTATTCTTCATCAAAATAAACATTAAAATCAAAAGCAGCTCATTTTTTAATATGATCAAAGTGTAAAAAAAAGAAACATGTTATTTATACTTTGTGTCGTTGACCAAAATGTTCATTAATAAAGCATCATGTCATTTTCTCTGAAGGAGAAGACGGTCCGGCTTTAAAATGTTGATTTACAAAATGTCATTATCAAAATATGAAATAAACATTCATTCATGAACAATAGAGACATGACAACAAAGATCCTTTTACCTTAAGAAAGAAACATTTAAATGATGATCATAGCTTCATCTGAAAGAATACATACTGTATATGTTGTAAATACATTTTACTCACAAATCAGGTGGGAGAAGGGCCAAAACAAGTTCTTTTTGCATTTGAATATGTTCCCTCTGTTTCTGCAGACGTTGCCATGCTTGATACCTGCAACAAGAGACACACTGATGATGCTTCTTTATTACAAATGAAATATGAAGAGCAAAGCAGACACTGAGCAACACATTAAACACTGTGTTGTTTCTTTATTCCATAAATGACACAAAGGATCAAAGTAGAGAGGAGGTGTTGATGTTTCAGTCAAACATTTGACTTGAAAACTCAACATCACTTCAACATCTTTTAAACAGGAGCATGGCGTTTGCTTTACATCAACCATGGGGGTTGTTTCATCTTTAAGGTCTTTGCACACTGAGTCTGTTTTTTTAAAATGTGTTTTTCAGATCTGTAATCCGATCAAAACGTTACACAGGAACCTCACACTCTGAGTCAGATGTGTTCATTCTTCTCTTCATTCTGAAAATTGTCAGTGTGAGACAGAATGGAGTCATCGAGCCGTGAGGATGACTTTGTGATTCTTTCGGTCCTTAAAAAATAAAGAAATAAAAACCTCTGGGTCCACCCACTCCTGAAAACAAGACAAGAGCCAGGAGAGTTTCCCCTGTTGATAAAAGAGCTGCAGAATGATCAGCATCACTTCAGGTGTATTTCAGGATGTCAGAGTTTGATACGCTGCTAGCTATACTGAAACTACACATTAAAGGAACACCACCAATTTACACACAGAAACTGATCCTGAACACGGATTGGAAGGATGCAAAAAAAGTTAGAAAAACAAACCTGTTGTGAAAATAATAAAGACAGATGAAAGTTTTCAGAGTGCAAACATGATCGACTCAACATGAGATTGTATTTGTTTTTTCAACATGCAGCAAAACAGACTCAGTGTGTGTGTGTGTGTGTGTGTGTGTGTGTGTGTGTGTGTGTGTGTACAAACATGACTGTCAGTATTCATTGTTGAAAACACTCACCAGGCTGGGTAGTCTATTTCAAATTTTTTAAAATCAATCATTTTGTCTTTTGACCAATCACTGTGGAGGGATGGATAAGATGAACTTGATGATTGGTCATCATCACTGAGAATGCTGAAAAAGAGAGAAAGATTAGATAGTTAGATATCAAACCACAACAACAGATGAAAAACTTCAAGATTAGTCCAGTCAGACTTGATCTGGTTCACTCTGAATGATTAACCCAGCTTCTCATATGGAAATCAAACCTGAGTTTTTATGAGATATTTCTGAACCAGCAGGAACAATAATTTTAGAAATATGTGAAAACAAAAATCAATTTACCTTTCTGAAGAAAGAAACATTTAAATGATGTTCATAGCTTCATCTGAAAGAATACATACTGTATATGTTGTAAATACATTTTACTCACAAATCAGGTGGGAGACGGGCCAAAACATCTTCTTTTAGTATTTGAAGTTGTTCCCTCAGTTCCTGCAGACGTTGCCATCTTTGATACCTGCAACAAGAGACACACTGATGATGCTTCTTTATTACAAATGAAATATGAAGAGCAAAGCAGACACTGAGCAACACATTAAACACTGTGTTGTTTCTTTATTCCATGAATGACACAAAGGATCAAAGTAGAGAGGAGGTGTTGATGTTTCAGTCAAACATTTGACTTGAAAACTCAACATCACTTCAACATCTTTTAAACAGGAGCATGGCGTTTGCTTTACATCAACCATGGGGGTTGTTTCATCTTTAAGGTCTTTGCACACTGAGTCTGTTTTTTTAAAATGTGTTTTTCAGATCTGTAATCCGATCAAAACGTTACACAGGAACCTCACACTCTGAGTCAGATGTGTTCAAAAAGAAAAACAAACCTGTTGTGAAAATAATAAAGACAGATGAAAGTTTTCAGAGTGCAAACATGATCGACTCAACATGAGATTGTATTTGTTTTTTAAACATGCAGCAAAACAGACTCAGTGTGTGTGTGTGTGTGTGTGTGTGTGTGTGTGTGTGTGTGTGTGTGTGTGTGTGTGTGTGTACAAACATGACTGTCAGGATTCAATGATGAAAACACTTACAGGACTGGGTAGCCTTCTTCCAATTTTTTAAAATTAATTATTTTTCCTGTTGACCAATCACTGAGGAGGGATAGATCAGATAGACATGACGATTGGTCGTCATCTCTGAGAAAGCTGAAAAAGAGAGAAAGATTAGATAGTTAGATATCAAACCACAACAACAGATGAAAAACTAAAACTTCTAAATTAGACATCGATCCAGTAAGACTTGATTTAATTCACTCTGAATGATAAACTCCTGATTCTTACATGAACTTTAAACCTGATCAACCTGACTATTTGGGACATTAAATCATCATCCAGTGTTTGATGAAAGTAGCAGCGTTTTGAGATTTGAAATCAGAAAATTACTTAAAGGTGTTATATGTTGATTTTTACCAAAATATCTAAATTCATTGAAAATTTACTAAACATATGTTTTTGTTGTTGAGTACTAACATAAGCTCAAATATATATTTATATTTCCAACATTTCTCAAAACCAGAGAAAGTGTCTTGTCGTGGCAGCCTCCATGACAGAGCCGCCATGTTAATCGTTGTCATGGAAACACCTGATGTTACGTCAAAGACCGCTGCATAAGGAAGCGGCAGCTGCTACTGAAAGCTGCCGTACTGTTGCTGTGTGTGTAAAGATAAGTCAGAGTTCATTCTCATCGGGGGTGGGGTAGCAGAGAGAATCACTCCCATGATTCCCCACCAGCCTGAACATCATCTTATGTCATTGTTTAGCTTGAGAGCTCCCTGGTGGCGGAATATACAAACTGTGCCTTTAAAGACCCAAGTAATAAAAAATATAAATAAATATTGTTTCATTTAAATCTTGATTGATGTACATAAAAAGACATTTAAATTATTTGTTAGAATTGTTTTGAAAATGGCGATGTATAATGCAAGAAGAAAAAATAGTTTAAACTGTTCATGAGCGTCATCATGACAACTGTAGGCATTTGGAAACCAGCGTCCTGTAGCCTGATCACCACAGACTTGAAGAGGTCAGTATTTCTTTCTCAAAACAGGATACTCAAGTCCGTGTGAAAGCACTCGATGTCAGTTTTAACTGATACGGTTAAGCCTCATCAAAATATTGATATTTTTAAAACTGTCAGTCTGAATAAGATGTAAGCACATTTCACTCACTGAATGACAGATAAGTATCCTGACTCATTATCATCATCTGCTGCTTCAGCGCCATCTATCTTCAGTTGGGAGAAGGTCGAGTTGGGCCTGTAACAATAAACACGGTTATGATGCAACTTCACCAGAAAAAAGTTCATATCAAAAGAAAATCCAGATTATTTTTAAATATGATATAAAACAGTGGAATCAGTAAAAGAGGTTATGAGTTTTCTTTGTCATTTTATAAAATGTTCAACAAACAGGTGACTGATGACCTAGCAGATCGTAACGTCTCATGTATGGAGGCTAAAGCCATCCAAGTGGACGACCCGGGGTTCAACCTTTTTGACAAGAAACAGAGTCTGCTTTATGACGCTATAATGTCAATGTTTGCCTTTCTATCAACATGTAAACCAGAGGCAGTAGCATTCTTCTCTCTCTCCTTTGACTAATCCCTCCTGAAGGACGGACCAGATGAATCTGACAACTTTCTGTCATTAGATCAAACCCAGAAACTGCTTGATTCCAAAAACAATATGTACCACCACAAAGTGAAAAACCCTTTTGAATGTTTTCTGGCTCTGCTGCTGAGAAGAAGACCTCAGGGTGGGAATCATATTACCAGAAGAGTTCAGTTAAAAAGTACTTTCCTATCAATGGATTTACATTTACATATATTTTTCTCTGAACAAGCAAACTGTGGAAATTTGACTGTTTGTGATCAAACCACATGCAGCAACTGGTCCTTACAGGGAAACTATGAAGAATGCATCAGATTTTCCTTTTAGAATATGATATAAAGCAGATTGTGTTCGCTCTGAATGGATGTCTCCTCTTTAAAAAGAAGCCTCCTCTTTTCTCTTGACTATGTCGAGTCGTTTAAATCATCTAGAAAGGAGGTCGTTTTTATTGACTTTGTGAATATGTTCAGCACAGAGAACAGGATTAAACCAGATGAACTTTGATTTGAAGTATGCTGTTTTCTCTTCAGGTCAAACACTAACAGCAGAATTGTTCACTCATATAGATGCTAAAAATCTTAATAACGTGATGTTGACTTACTCCTTAAACAAGAGTTGTAACCTGAAGTCCCTCAGTAAGTCATCAGACATACTGAGTTCTTCAGAGTCTGGTCTCTGCACGGCTCTGGGCTGAAAAAGGAAATGCAGAGTTAGGATTCTCCATTTCCTCCTTAACGGAAACACACAAATAAACACCTTTATCATTATAGAAGGAAACTGTTGTGCCTCAGCCACTCCACAAATGGAGGTCGGTGCTCTCAGAGAAGGACTTTAAGACGTACTGAATTATATTTTTTGTACATAAATCACAACTTTAAAACTTCCAGAGCGCACTGATCTGACTGTGTTTATATTTCAAGTTCAGAACAACATTAAAAACTAAAACGTGTGTTTATATTAAAGCTTAATTTGAAAAATAAATAAATAAATCAAAGTCTGCCTGCACTGTCAGGGTCAGTGAATGCTGCAGATTAAAGTCATGAAGCTCACAGCCGACTGAGCAGAGAATCAGTACAGAAGATATACAAATATTAAGACTTATTTCAAATGTAAAACAAGAACACACGTCATGATTTTCCCTTTAAAAGTCTAAAAAACAAACAATAAAATAAACTACATCTGATTAGTTTGAGGATTTAGAAACTCTGGATGGTACAACAGGCCTAGTCTACATTTATTAAAAGTTATTTATTTAAACAGACTTCTAAAATAAACATCTGGGGGCGCTGGTAGTCTGGTGATTGTTATGAGCGCTACATGTAGACTACTGTGGACCTCCAAGCGACCTCCTCTCCCGCATGTCATTCCTCTCTCTCTCTCTCTCTCTCTCGCTCTCTCTCTGACTCTATCCACTGTCCTGTCTTAAAATGAAGGCTTGAAAAACCCAAAATAAACCTTTTTGTCTAACCTAAAAAAGTTATTCAAACTAAAGTGTAGGTTTAAATAATGACGTCAAATTGTCCTTTAATATTAATCAACTTTTATGTTTTCTAAAAGTTATCAATATGTAGACTAACAAATGTTATCTTAGGTTTTATAGCGTAAAGGCTGCTGACGTGTTTCCTTATTTTGTACCCGAACTTCTGAAGATATGAAAAAGTAAACACCATTAAACCAACTTCTAAATACTGAAATAAAGCTAATGAAGAATTCTTTACCCGTATGAGTTCACTCAAACTCAGATTCATTTCTCAGTTTCGTCTAAAAATGTTGTTTGTTTACAATCCGTATCTCTCAGGCCTCACAGGGTGTATCTCTTCAACATCAGCGGTGGTAAAAACACGGATATAAAATAAAGAAAACACGTCCTCTATACATTTTCTGACAAACTTTCCAAACAGAAGGACACAAATAAATAAATTACTTTCTTTAAGCAACATAAAACATGCATAAACGTTACCTTTAGATGGAGAAAAACAAACTGCGACACAGATTGATAAAGAAAGTAATTCAGCGACCTTAAACCAAACAAACTTGTTCTCCTTGAACCCAACCCCTTACACATTACACAGGCTACATTAAAAAGGAAGACACTGCAGGAGAACGGGTCTGAACACAGTTTATGTAGAAACCATGTTCAGTTTGTTGTCAGCCTCTTTACCCAAAGTGTTTTCTTTAATAGCTCTGATTTCAGAGATCGGAGGTATTTATTCAGCACCTGTCACTTTCAAACTTCATTGTATATTATGTTGTATTATTTAAATGAATTTTTATATATTTATATTGTGATATTGGCAGGGTTAGTATTTTGTATATTTGGGTTTATAACTTGTATATTTTGGTTTTAGTATTTCTATATTTCTATATTTACTGATAGTAGGCATATACAGGCTTGCTCGAACAGTACTTCGTTGTATTTGCCCCCAAGAGTGTGGCTGCAGCCTGGAGCCTCTCGTCTCGTGTCCTCTCGTCTCGTGCTCTCTCTTATGTCATTTCTCGCCACACCCACTCAGCTTTTGTCCGGTTATTTCCAATGGATAGAGATAGGGTCAAAAATCCGGAAAAGCAATTATTTTCAAAACAATCAGCAAGTCTGTCAAAATATATCTATGAAAATGAAACACAGTACTTAGGTATTGAATTATATGACTAAAAATGAAGTTATTTAACATAATATTTGTAGGTTTTTGCCTTTTCTGCTTTTTTTGTTGCATATTCGAGCGTGTGAATCTTCAGCGGAAGTGACGTAATATACGCTGAAGTAAATATTTACCGCCAACTCTTGAGTTGCACAGCAACAAACATGGACGTGTCTCGCAAAATAAAGACGAAAGTGTCCTCCGGCTTCAAGATGCGGGGACTTATACTACGGCCGTATGTTATTTTAAATTATTTAATAAGGATTTAAACGTGTTAACGTGGGCTTTAGTGATATTTGAACGTTATTACCGTTTATGTAGAAACCATAGAAACAAAGCTAACGTTACCACAGCAACTGTAATATCTGTCACTTCGTATAAACCGCTCTCGGTCCATCATTTTCTGTCTATTGTTACGGCTGGCTCAAATGCAGAACATAATCAGGGACACAACACAAAGGTTTTAAGTTCTTAGTTTTTAGTTTATTGACAATTAAACATAAAGTACCTGAAAAACCAGGAAACAAACTACTGAGGTGTTGGTGCTGTGAAGTTGGGAGAGAGAGTGGTTAATTAGGAGGCCTTGCCTAAATAGACTCAGCCTAATTGTCTACAGGTGCTGTCAGCCAGGTGAAATCAACAGAAGTCACCAGAGGGAGCACCAAACAAACAGGAAACAATTGATGTAACACTATATTGATACAATACTGTGTAGAACAAGGGCCGCCGGTAGCCTAGTGGTTAGTGCGTGCCCTAAGTATGGAGGCTACAGTCCTCCAATCTCTCCTGGATTTCTGACTCTCTATCCTGTCTCTAAAATAAAGGCATAAAAAAAGTCCAAAATTAAACCTTAAAAAAAGCCTTTAACTTGGAAACAGCTTGAACATGTGTTCAGACTGACTCTACTTTTCCTCATCATCATATTAAACCATAATATAAATAAACAAAAGGTTTTCAACTTGAAGTCAAAGGATGCAAACACCAGATTCATAGATTCATAGCACAAACAAACAGCATCTATGAGTCAGTGTTCGATCCTCCTCATGACTGCTCTGATCAGTGATAATAAAAGTGAAAGCTGCAGCCTTCAGTAACAAAGTGCTGGAGAAAGACGGCAGACTAAAAGTCCGTCTCTCACTCACCTTCCTTTGTAAACCCAGGAGGACAGTTTGTCTCGAGGTGAGGGAGCCGAGCCAACCTGGTGCGTGATCTTCCTCCATGTGTATTTGCCGTCTGTCAGGTTGACACAATAGATCTGTTTGAAGTCAAACACTGATCACTGCTTCATGTCGACTCTGTTCAACTCTGACCTCTGACCATCAGCGAACTGATGATCACAAGAATCAAAGGGCAGAAATGTTTGAAACGTGAAATGTTGCAGAATTATCTGTAGAGCCGATGAGGTGTTTCCTGTTGCACGCCGTCCTGCTACAAAATATATATTTATATATATTTTTTTACACAGCAAGACACTCACACCCTTAAGGCAAATTTTACATTTTATTTGCTGTCTTAAAATGCTCTTAAGCTCACCGAAGTCATTTCATAATGTGTGAATGTTAAAGTAAAGGCGACCACTCGGCTCGCTCAGGCTCACTTTGAAGACGTTCAGACTGAACTGTAAGGAGTGTCCACAAATCGTCTCCATGACGACGTTCAGACAAGTTGGTACAGCTCCTTCTAAAAGGATTCTCACAATTTCAGTTTAAAAGATTTCATTTAAAAATCCTGACAGTTGTTGCTGCTTCCTGTTTGTATTTGAAGCCAGCACAAAGTTCAGATTAGTTTCTTTGGAATCATTTTAATTTTTTTAATTTTTAATTTTTTCTCTTTCAGTAAGAAATGCTATGCTGGGTTTACTACAGCTTACACATAATACCAACCACAACAATAACACTATTTATTATGTTTTTAAATATCTGAATCAGTTGCTGTTGGCCGAACATTTGTGTCTGAATCAGATCAGAACTGAACAAAAGTGGACGGGTGCATCTCTAGCAGTTCTTAGCCTCACCTGATTGGTCTGTCCGAAGTCATCGCAGCCTCCAAATATGTACATGTGACCATCCAGGGAGCAGCTGCAGGTCCCAGACATGGAGGGAGGGACTTCCCCTGGCATGTGAAACACTTTCCTTCAAAATGATTATTTAAAAATAAAAATAGTGAAAATACAACACCTCCATTAAAGTTAAAAACAACAATATCACTTCTCTTTGTTTGTGATTATGTGAGTAAATTATCAACATGAAAAAACATCAAAGCTGAAAGTTGTCGTCTGCTGAATAAACTTTAAGGTCAGAGTGAAACCGTTTTTCTTAGGGCACCATGTGTCTTTACAGAATTTAAAAATCAATGTTTTTAATGTGTTATAAATAGAGCCTAACCGATACAGGTTTTTTGTGTCTGATAACAATATTAGGGAGAGAGAGAAAACGATACCGATATATCGGCCGATGTCTTTCTCAGATTGTATTTCGATCTGTAGAGATAGATAGAGATGGATAAACACATTTATTGCGCTGATCCCTTAAATGCAGTCATCAAACACTTTTAGAAAAGATTGCTTCACCTCTTGACACTCTGGAGAGTGATGATGCTTGTTGTAATCCATGTAGCGCCCTCTGCTGGTGACAGAGAACTGCTAGTGTAATACAATGATGCTCAACTGAAATGCTATTTGACTGGTGAATAAATCGAGTAATATCAGCACATAGCTGCACTAAAATTAGCTGATACCGATAGTCACTGGATGTGCTAATATCGGCCGATATTATCAGCTTGCAGATCAATCGGTCGGGCTCTGGTATTGAGCACTGATGTCACTTTATCATGTTTTGATGAAGGATGCAGAATAAAAAGAATGTGTTAATTTATATCTCTAAAGTATGATATTTGAGAACAAGGAACACTACACGAGTATTTACTGCTGTCCTATTTCAATCTATGATCTGTGGTGCTAACTGTATGCTGCCTGTTTTATAACTGTGTTTGTATTCTGTTAAAGCACATATCAGTCCTGTGTGTGTGTGTGTGTGTGTGTGTGTGTGTGTGTGTGTGTGTGTGTGTGTGTGTGTGTGTGTGTGTGTGGTCAGAGTCGAGCATCTCCCCTCTGACCAAAGCTGTAACGGCTCTGCTCTTGTTTCACAAATTAAACATTCATTCAAAATAATGCGATAAAATCAACAGCACTTCAAAATGAACACAATTGTTAAAAAAACGATATTATCCAAAATAAAGTTAAAATAGGATACATAATAAATACAACATAAGAACAATATTTAGAAAACTAACCCAAATAAACAATAAAATAAGACATCAAACCAACAATAATATGGAGCCAGAAAATCCCTTACATTTAGCATTTATGTAGCCGTTAACATTTACGGCGAAACTAACTTTATATACAATACTCAAAACTTTGTAAAACTGATACAGAATAAAACAAATATGATCATAAACAGAACACCACAGTTTGATTACATGTAAACTATAAAAAAAAATACTTTTAATTGAATTTATCGACGGAGCATTAATCACCTCAAACCTACCTCTGACCAAAGTTGTAACGGCTCTAACCTCCGTCATTACGTCATTACGTCATTACGCACAGACACACAGACTCCAAAATAAACAGGCAGGAGAAGAATGGAAAACAATTCAGATTTAAAATGAAAAATTTGTGTTTTGGGGAAATTCATATGTCGTCAATGACCACCATAAAATACCACTTCCGGTTCTCTCTTTTCAAAATAAAAAACCTATCCATATGCATGATGTTCGAACAGATTTTATTTTATTGTATTAGAAAACGAAAATAACTTTTATTTTTTTAACTGTATTCATAGATTTTTCTTTATGACAGTACAGCAGTATTGCCAGCAGAAGGTGATAATCAAGTGGTCACAGTTTTAGATAAAAAACATCCTGACCCCCTCCCCAACAACAAATACACAAAACGAATAAAACAAAAATATAAAATTGATTATTGATATGGAAAAAACTTAATCTGAAATAATTGTACACTTCTTTTTATAATGTGTACTTTGTATATTATGAGATTATACATATACAAACATTTGTAATTGTCATGGTAACGGAGCTCAGAGCTTGCCTCAGTTCATTTTTTATTATACATGTCTTGAAAAATAGACAAATCCATGACATTGATAGTCTCCTGCTGTGAGGAGCATATGTGAACAGTCAGGTCAGGAGAATATCCGGAGCAGTCCTCGTGAAATCATTTTAAACAGTGTATATGTGAAAACAGATTCATTGACTGCTTCCTGCATTTGGTACATTCCCCTTTCTGACGTTTGTAAATTTGTCTCATCGCTCTTAAAGTGTTTGAAACCTTTTAAATGTGTTTAAAATGTAAATAAGTTTGGTCTTTGATTCAAGTGTGTTGCTTTTGTAATTTTGTTTACATTTTTCTTAAGCTTTGCAAAAGTATTTCACACTTTGTATTTTTGGTTTGCACTTCCCAGCCACCGTACTTCCAGCGTAATGAAATACTGTTAAAAAGATGTTACTCAGACTTTAGTGCTTCTTCTCAGATTTTGTCTTAAAGTATTTCCACATTGTTTAATTGGCACAATGACTAAAACTCAGTAATACAACTCCTGTATTTACTGTATGAACCTTGACAAAGAAAACACTTTAACACAGAAGTATTATTAATTATAAAGTTTTAAAGTGACTAAAATACAGGAAGGTGCATAATAACTTTGAGGACCTCAAAATCAGTCGAAGAGAAAATAATCCAAGAGAGAGAATTAAGGAATGATTACAAAGATGATGACAGTAGGATAATAAAAAATAACAGTCTTATGTGAGCAACGAATCTTATCATTTACATTCATTTGTATCCAAATCAAGCTGTCACAAAAAGAGCTACAGATCATTATACTCAACATGGTTTTCAAACAACCAAAGTCTGGACGCAAAGTTCAGACTTTTAGATCACGGATTTGGTCTCTTCCTCTTCCTCCTCTTCCGCCTCCACCACCTCCTCCTCTTCCTCCTCCATCCTGCATGGAGTAATAAGCATTGTGTGATTATTCTTCATCAAAATAAACATTAAAATCAAAAGCAGCTATTTTTTTTTAATATGATTAAAGTGTAAAAAAAAGAAACACGTTATTTTTACTTTGTGTCATCATGTCATTTTCTCTGAAGGAGAAGACGGTCCCGCTTTAAAATGTCTATTTACAAAATTTCATAATTAAGATATGAAATAGACATTCATTCATGAACAATAGAGACATGACAATAAAGATCCTTACCTTAAGAAAACAACATTTAAATGATGTTCATAGCTTCATCTGAAAGAATACATACTGTATATGTTGTAAATACATTTTACTCACCAATCAGGTGGGAGGTCGTCAAAAACACTTTCTTCTTCGATTTGAAACAGTTCCCTCAGTTCCTGCAGACGTTGCCATGCTTGATCCCTGCAACAAGAGACACACTGATGATGTTTCTTTATTACAAATGAAATATGAAGAGCAAAGCAGACACTGAGCAACACATTAAACACTGTGTTGTTTCTTTATTCCATGAATGACACAAAGGATCAAAGTAGAGAGGAGGTGTTGATGTTTCAGTCAAACATTTGACTTGAAAACTCAACATCACTTCAACATCTTTTAAACAGGAGCATGGCGTTTGCTTTACATCAACCGTGGGGGTTGTTTCATCTTTAAGGTCTTTGCACACTGAGTCTGTTTTTTTAAAATGTGTTTTTCAGATCTGTAATCCGATCAAAACGTTACACAGGAACCTCACACTCTGAGTCAGATGTGTTCATTCTTCTCTTCATTCTGAAAATTGTCAGTGTGAGACAGAATGGAGTCATCGAGCCGTGAGGATGACTTTGTGATTCTTTCAGTCCTTAAAAAATAAAGAAATAAAAACCTCTGGGTCCACCCACTCCTGAAAACAAGACAAGAGCCAGGAGAGTTTCCCCTGTTGATAAAAGAGCTGCAGAATGATCAGCATCACTTCAGGTGTATTTCAGGATGTCAGAGTTTGATACACTGCTAGCTATACTGAAACTACACATTAAAGGAACACCACCAATTTACACACAGAAACTGATCCTGAACACGGATTGGAAGGATGCAAAAAAAGTTAGAAAAACAAACCTGTTGTGAAAATAATAAAGACAGATGAAAGTTTTCAGAGTGCAAACATGATCGACTCAACATGAGATTGTATTTGTTTTTTAAACATGCAGCAAAACAGACTCAGTGTGTGTGTGTGTGTGTGTGTGTGTGTGTGTGTGTACAAACATGACTGTCAGGATTCAATGTTGAAAACACTTACTTGTTTTGGAAATTAATTATTTTGTCATTTGACTGAGTACTGCAGGTGGATTGAATAGATAAACATGGCAATTGGTCTTTATTATGAACATGCAGATAGAGCAGGGAGACTCCTCGCGCTTCAGCTTAAACAACAGTCTGCTGAGCGGATGATCCAAGGGATCAATACAGGTGCTGGTTTAATTTCAAACAATCCTCAAATTATTAATGGTCAGTTTAAGCAATTTTATTTTGCCCTGTATCAATCGGAGGCAGACACTAACTTGTCTGAAATCCACTCATTTCTCAACTCTTTAGATATCCCTAAACTCTCTTCGGACTCTCAGTTGTCCTTGAAACAGCCATTGTCATCTGAAGAAATAGCAAATGGATGGATAGGATGGATAATACTTTATTGTCAGACCTAGTCTGAAATTTGCCTTGCGTCACAGCGGCTCCGTTTGCGGCACAACAATTAAGACAGGAAACAAAGATACAAACATTTGACACAATACTCAAACACAACACAACACTCAAGATATAAACATTTGAAACAACACTGAAACGCCAAACAAATGCCCAGAGGCCCTAAACGTGCTCTGGTCGAGGATTCAGCTCCACATTCAATTTTAGGATTGATTGGTGAACAAAAGAGTGTTGCAAATGTGTGTGTTTGCAAATCAGGCGCTATTAAATGCTATTAAAATAACTCCAACAGGGAAGGCACCGGGCCCGGATGGGGGAGTTTTACAAGGTACTCTCTCAGAAACTTGTGCCGATACTAAAATCTGTTTATGACCAATCATTGGTCAATGGAAAATTACCACCAACACTCTCTCAAGCGACAATCTCGGTGCTATTGAAAAAAGACAAGGACCCCCTAGAGTGTAGCGCTTATAGGCCAATCAGCCTTCTTGGTTGCGACTATAAAATCTTAACCAAGATCCTTGCGCAGTGATTAGCAGCCATTATTCCTATCATCATTAACGAGGACGATGTCCCCCAACTCTCCAGTACAACCTGAGGCTATCCTAAGTCTTGACGCTGAAAAGGCGTTTGATAAGATTGAATGGCACTATCTTTTTGCTGCCTTGGAAAAGTTTGGATTGGGACCTATTTTTTGCAACTGGATAAAAATGTTATATTCGGCACCCATGGCTGCTGTTCAAACTAATAACAATATCTCTGAATGTTTTATGCTGCATAGGGGTACGAGGCAGGGTTGCTGCCTGTCGCCCTTTTTGTTCGACATTGCAGTTGAACCGTTAGCAGTTGCCATTAGATCAGATAATAGGATTAAGGGCATTACAAGGGGTGGCATAATCCATAAAACATCTCTCTACGCGGATGATTTACTTGTGCAAATGTCAGATCCGACAGAAAGTATTCCCTGCCTTCTCTCCTTGCTGCAGAGCTTTAGGAATATCTCCGGATACAAAATCAATTTGTCCTGCTATTTCCACTAAATGATCTGGCACAACAGATCAATTACGAACATCTTCCCTTTAAGGTTGAGAAGAAAAATTTACATATTTGGTTGTCGAGATAGCTGGTTCAGTCAAGGACATTTTTGAATACAACTTTAAATCTATGTTAGAACGCACCAAGAGTTATCTGGATAGGTGGTCAAAGTTCCCTATTACCCTGGCGGGCCAGATTAATTCAGTAAAAATGACAGTACTACCCAGGTTTTTATACCTGTTTCAAATGGTGCCCATTTTTCTCCCAAAATCCTATTTTACCCAGCTAGACTGCCTAATCTCATCGTTTATATAGAACAAGAAACCTGCACGTACAAAGAAATCAAACTTAGAGAGAGTCAAATCAGAGGGTGGTCTGGGTCTGCCTAATTTTTTTATTTTTTTACTGGGCTGCTAATATTGCCAAGATGACATATTGGATTACCACGTTTGCGGATAAGGATGGCCCTATTTGGGCTCATATGGAGTTACAATCTACTCTCCCAGTCTCCCCAATCTCTTTCTTAACTGCCCCCCTCCCATTAAATGTAAGAGCAAAGGATTTCAGTGCGAATGTCGTGGTTCAAAACACAATTAGGATTTGGGGCCAGTTTAGAAAATATTTTAACCTCAATAATACATGTGGCTTCTCCCCAATAATGTCCAATCATCTTTTTGCACCATCTCAATTGGATTTGGCTTTTGCAGTCTGGAGTAGGAGCGGATTGGTCTTTTTTCAAGATCTGTTTACTGATGACAGCTTTGCGTCATTTACTTTTCTGTGCAAGGACCACAATCTTTCAAATTCACAATATTTTAGATACCTTCAGGCTCGGAGTTTTGCCTCTCAACACTTCCCAGGATATCCATGCCCACTCCCTAAAGACATAGCTTACTCAGTTCTCAATGTCAATCCATTCAATAAAGGTGCAGTATCAAAAATATACAAACTTATTTTGAATAGTTGCCCCCATAAGTGGGATAAAACTAAGACAGCTTGGGAAGGAGACGTTGGGGAGCTCATCTCAGAGGATACTTGGGAAAACATTATTTCTTTAATACACTCTTCATCTTTCTGCATCAGACATGGATTAATTCAATTTAAGATAGTCCGTAGATTGCATTACTCTAATGACAGGTTAGCTAAATTATATCCTAATGTGGCTCCAATTTGTCCCAGGTGTCATCATTCTCCTGTTTCCTTAGGGCACATGTTCTGGCATGCCCATCATTATCCAATTTCTGGATATCTGTTTTCCAATCACTCTTGGCAATATCTGGTAGGACGATACCTCCCAACCCAATAACAGCTATTTTTGGAGCAGTTGATGATGAATTGATGTTTTCCCGCCTCCACAAAAATGCTATTGCTTATGCGTCATTACATGCCCGCTGTTTGATACTGCTCAACTGGAAAGGAAGGATTCCCCCACTTATATTGGATCATGTTGGATCTGGAGAAACTTAGATATAAAGTACGTGGGTTGGAGGATAAGTATGACTGTTGAGTTGGGAGACTTTGATTATGGTTGTCGGAGCTGTTACCTACCTTTTCTCCTGAAGGGTTTAGAATATTGGTACCACGAGTAGCATAATCTAAACATGCCAGTTTGGTTTATTTTTGTGATTGTATGCTTTGTTTTTTTGTATTATTGTTGTATTATTGTTATTGTCTATCTAATTCCTTTTTATCTCTCTGGCAACAACGTATATATTGCTATCATTAAGAGGATCAACATCTAGATGCATATTGTTCTATATATGAGTGCTTACATGCATGTTAATACACCCTCTATTTGTTATTGCCTTGTTGTCTAAAGGTTTGTGTATGTATGTGGGGACACCACCTGGAGGGGTGGGGGGTGGGATAAGGGTTAACAATTTCTTGCTGTGAATGTTCATCTGACATTGATGTAACAATATGTAAAATTGAAAATAAAGTTGTTAAAAAAAACAAAACATTTTACTCACCAATCAGGTGAGAGGTCGGCAAAAAAACGTTCTTCTTGCATTTGATTGAGTTTCTTCTGTTTCTGCAGACGTTGCCACATTTGATCCCTGCAACAAGAGACACACTGATGATGTTTCTTTATTACAAATGAAATATGAAGAGCAAAGCAGACACTGAGCAACACATTAAACACTGTGTTGTTTCTTTATTCCATGAATGACACAAAGGATCAAAGTAGAGAGGAGGTGTTGATGTTTCAGTCAAACATTTGACTTGAAAACTCAACATCACTTCAACATCTTTTAAACAGGAGCATGGCGTTTGCTTTACATCAACCATGGGGGTTGTTTCATCTTGAAGGTCTTTGCACACTGAGTCTGTTTTTTTAAAATGTGTTTTTCAGATCTGTAATCCGATCAAAACGTTACACAGGAACCTCACACTCTGAGTCAGATGTGTTCATTCTTCTCTTCATTCTGAAAATTGTCAGTGTGAGACAGAATGGAGTCATCGAGCCGTGAGGATGACTTTGTGATTCTTTCAGTCCTTAAAAAAAAAAAAAAAAAAACCTCTGGGTCCACCCACTCCTGAAAACAAGACAAGAGCCAGGAGAGTTTCCCCTGTTGATAAAAGAGCTGCAGAATGATCAGCATCACTTCAGGTGTATTTCAGGATGTCAGAGTTTGATACGCTGCTAGCTATACTGAAACTACACATTAAAGGAACACCACCAATTTACACACAGAAACTGATCCTGAACACGGATTGGAAGGATGCAAAAAAAGTTAGAAAAACAAACCTGTTGTGAAAATAATAAAGACAGATGAAAGTTTTCAGAGTGCAAACATGATCGACTCAACATGAGATTGTATTTGTTTTTTAAACATGCAGCAAAACAGACTCAGTGTGTGTGTGTGTGTGTGTGTGTGTGTACAAACATGACTGTCAGGATTCAATGTTGAAAACACTTACAGGACTGTGTTGCTTTTTTCTAATCTTTTAAAATTGATATTTTTTCCGTTTGACCAATCACTGTGGAGGGATAGATCAGACAGACGTGACGATTGGTCCTCATCTCTGAGAAAGCTGAAAAAGAGAGAAAGATTAGATAGTTAGATATCAAACCACAACAACAGATGAAAAACTTCAAGATTCGTCCAGTCAGACTTGATCTGGTTCACTCTGAATGATTAACCCAGCTTCTCATATGGAAATCAAACCTGAGTTTTTTATATGGGATATTTCTGAACCAGCAGGAACAATAATTTTAAATATATGTGAAAACAAAAATCAATTTACCTTTGCTTGAGAAAAAAACATTTAAATGATGTTCATACCTTCATCTGAAAGAATGTATGTTTAAATAAATTTGACTCACAAATCAGTAGAGATGCGGGCCAAAGCACTTGCTTCTCGGATTTGAATAAATTTCCTCAGTTCCTGCAGACTTTGCCAATATTGATCCCTGCAACAAGAGAAACATGAATTGGAAGGATGCAAAAAAAGTGAAAAAAATTGAACCTGTGTTGAAAATAATAAAGACAGATGAAAGTTTTCAGATAGTGTCTAAACGTAGGGTTACTTCGTTACCTTGGTTCTCTGAGTGAAGAGACTATCTTTCTACCCCGTTACATTACATGTACGTGATATGATCCCTTGCTCGTCAGAGTCCATGGATATTTCTTTAATACACACCAGCTTAACACCCCACAGCTCATCTATTAAGCCCCTGTGCTGGTGTGCAGTCCAACTGCACCTTTCGGAGAAGGGGCTGAAGGAGATGGGGTGGGATGAGCCAAGGCATCGCACCCCATGGGAGGATGGTCGTTTCTCAAGGAGAAGAAGAGAGGACAATGGGCCGACTTTTTTGAAGCAAACTGGTCGACTTCTGCTTTGCCCAGGTGACACCAGATTTCCTTGACCACCTGTGGATGAAGTCTCCACTCCCCAGGTTGTGGGCCCCCTCTTGGCATTATGTCCCAGCTGAGTTTAACAGACCCAGAACATGTACGGCTCTCAGAGAGCAGAAGAGGGGGTAAGCCCATTGCCACAGAATGGTCGCCTGTTTGCATAGGAGGGGAGAGCACAGGAAACCCCTGCCTGTTTATGTAAGCAGCTGTCACTGTGCTTTCCATCCTGACGATGACATGATGGCCTCTCAGTCTCGGTAGAAATCCACTGAGGGAGATTTCCCAAACCTGTTGGGGAGGCATCTGTGAAGACCAGCTGGCAATAGACCACTGGCCCCAGAGCATGTCCCACCCTAATGTGCTAAATGAACCATGCCAATAAATGTTGTCACCTGTGAAGGCTGGAGCTTGCTCTTTTTGTGGTTCAGGAGAAGAGCCCCATGGAGGGGACATTGTTCCTCTGAGGACGCACAAACTAACCAGTCGTCCAGATAATTCAGGACCCTGAGCCCCTGCTGCCTCATGGGTGCCAGTACTGCATCCATGCACCTGGTGAATGTCTAAAGAGCTAAAGATCTGCCAAAAGGCAGGGCACGAAACTCAAATATTCTGCCGTTGGGGCGAACCTCAGGAAGTGCCAATGGCCCTTCCAGATGGGAATCTGATGGGAATCTGAAGGTATGCATCCTTGAGATCTAGGGTGGAAAACCAGTCTCCGGCAGCGATGGCCTGCCCCACCCTGGAAACTGTAAGCGGCCTGCACCTCAGGGGGCGAAGAAACTTGTTGAGCCCCTGGAGGTCCAGAATAGGATGAAGACACTCATCTCGCTTGGGGACCAAAAAATAAGGGGAGAAAACCCTGGCCTGTTGATCCCCTCGCTCTATCTCTCTTATGGCCCTTTTCCCCAAGAGAGTGGACAGTTCTACCTGCAGTATCTGCGCATGCTGAGGGTCGTTCACAGTGGTGAAGGTTGACAATCTCAACCATGGGTCATGGTAGACACCACCCACGGATCTGCCCCCAAGGCTAACCAGGCTTCCCCATAACAGGCCGACAGGGGAGGCTGGCATGCCAGGGCTCTGGAATTGTCAGGAGGGAGGGGGATGCCTTGACGGCCCCTGAGCCATAGCGAATGGCCCTCCTGCTCTCCCCCAACGGAGATTATTACGCCTACGGAAGGCTTCCAGTTGGGGCCTAAGATCCCCCGGCCCCCATGTCTGGACTTCTGGTGTGGACCGTGACTGAGGCATCGGAGCTCTTGCCCGTCTAGAGCCCCTGGAGTGCCTGGTCAGGTCCCCTGAGATCGAGCCCAGGTGGATCTGACTGCTGATCAACCTTTTCAATTCTTTTTACTTTCTTCTCTTTTTTCATGAACTTTTCAAAAATCTCACAGATTAAGTAGACAATTCACTCACACTCCAGGGTTCTTCCTGCATAGAGAATTCTTTGGCGCCCCCCAAAGAGGTTTTACCCAGCGCCAAAGGAAAATCACGAGCGCCAAAAGAAAAAAAAGACAATTCAAATTGCAAATCAAATCCTCTCTGAATTTATGTTAAAAATATCAATACATCAAACGACTGTTGAACGAGCAGAACATAAACTTAAATACGACGTCTTTGACTTCTAGCAGTCATCTCCCCTCTCGTCCATTTACGCATGTGGCTCGAGCTGGATAGCCAGCTGATTGACTGTTTGTTTCTTTTGGTTCTGGACGCTCCGCTGACACCCACGAGCGCTAAATGAGGGTTGATTTTCTGTTTGGCGAGTTAATTTCAAAGAGCAATGCACTTCATGGCGGTAAATATTTATCCCAACAGTCATGTTAAAACTATACTAAACCGCGTATGATGTAGCTGCGGCTACTCGTCCCTGCTGCTCTGCTGTCTGCAGACGGGTCATCACGGGGGCACGCAGAAAAGGGGAAATTCGTTTTTACACTCTGTCTAGCAAACATAGTCCGAAATACACACACATGAACAAACAGGATCCTATGGACATACACTAATGGAGAGGTCTCAGAGTGAGGGGGCTGCCCACAGTGGACACTCCTGAGCTGGTAGGGCGGTTAGGTGCCTTGCTCAAGGGCACCTTGGCAGTGCTCAGGAAGTGGACTGGCACCTCTCCAGTTACCAGGCCAATTTCCGGACTTGGTCCATGCCGGGACTTGAACCAGCGACCCTCCGATTCCCAACCCAAGTCCCTACAGACTCAAATAAATGTACTTAAACAAATGTGTATGTAAAACTAAAACACAATTTAAAGGTAAAGAGCAGCCATCATAGGAAGAGGGTGAAATGCACTGAGGATGTGACCTCCCCTCTCCCAATCTCATTACACCCCTCTCCCTCAAAATCCCTCTCCTCTGTTTCACTGTTGCAATAAAAAACAAATTCTTTACCTGATTTAATTGGGGTTTTAGTAACGTAAGCATAATGATAATATTATTTATGAAATGGTCAGAAATAACAGGAAATGCACAGATTTCTGTCAAATAAGGTAATACAGACTCACAGACTATACTGTAATAGGAACAAATGTTTCCTACAGCGCGTATAGTCACCCCCAAAGGCCCATTCTGAGCCAGGAAAAACCCTGCACTCAAGTGGAGATCAAACAATCAATGATTGCACGCCAGCACAGGGGCTTTATAGATGAGCTGTGGGGCGTGACCTGGTAAGCCGTTGTTTCTTAAAGAAATATCAACGGACTCTGACGAACAAGGTATCATATCCCATACGTGTAATGAAATAGGGTGGCGAGATAGTCTCGAGACGAAAACGAACATCATTGATTCAACATGAGATTGTATTTGTTTTTCAAACATGCAGCACTTTTGTAATGGCGCACACATCACTGTCAAGATAAATTGCTGAAAACACTTACATGAGTGGGTCGCATTGTTTTAATTTTTGAAAATTTATTATCTTTTCTTTTGACCGATCACTGCGGAGGAATGGATCAAATGGACGTGGCCATTGGTCGTCATCACTGAGAAAGCTGAAAAAGAGAGAAAGATTAGATAGTTAGATATCAAACCACAACAACAGATGAAAAACTTCAAGATTAGTCCAGTCAGACTTGATCTGGTTCACTCTGAATGATTAACCCAGCTTCTCATATGGAAATCAAACCTGAGTTTTTATGAGATATTTCTGAACCAGCAGGAACAATAATTTTATAAATATGTGAAAACAAAAATCTATTTACCTTTCAGAAGAAAAAAAACATTTAACTGATGTTCATAGCTTCATCTGAAAGAATACATACTGTATATGTTGTAAATACATTTTACTCACCAATCAGGTGGGAGGTCGGCCAAAAAACGTTCTTCCCGGATTTGAATATGTTTCTTCTCTTCCTGCAGACATTGCCAGTAGTAATACCTGCAACAAGAACACACTGATGATGTTTCTTTATTACAAATGAAATATGAAGAGCAAAGCAGACACTGAGCAACACATTAAACACTGTGTTGTTTCTTTATTCCATGAATGACACAAAGGATCAAAGTAGAGAGGAGGTGTTGATGTTTCAGTCAAACATTTGACTTGAAAACTCAACATCACTTCAACATCTTTTAAACAGGAGCATGGCGTTTGCTTTACATCAACCATGGGGGTTGTTTCATCTTTAAGGTCTTTGCACACTGAGTCTGTTTTTTTAAAATGTGTTTTTCAGATCTGTAATCCGATCAAAACGTTACACAGGAACCTCACACTCTGAGTCAGATGTGTTCATTCTTCTCTTCATTCTGAAAATTGTCAGTGTGAGACAGAATGGAGTCATCGAGCCGTGAGGATGACTTTGTGATTCTTTCAGTCCTTAAAAAATAAATAAATAAAAACCTCTGGGTCCACCCACTCCTGAAAACAAGACAAGAGCCAGGAGAGTTTCCCCTGTTGATAAAAGAGCTGCAGAATGATCAGCATCACTTCAGGTGTATTTCAGGATGTCAGAGTTTGATACGCTGCTAGCTATACTGAAACTACACATTAAAGGAACACCACCAATTTACACACAGAAACTGATCCTGAACACAGATTGGAAGGATGCAAAAAAAGTTAGAAAAACAAACCTGTTGTGAAAATAATAAAGACAGATGAAAGTTTTCAGAGTGCAAACATGATCGACTCAACATGAGATTGTATTTGTTTTTTAAACATGCAGCAAAACAGACTCAGTGTGTGTGTGTGTGTGTGTGTGTGTGTGTGTACAAACATGACTGTCAGGATTTATTGTTGAAAACACTTACCTGCCTGGGTCGTATTTTTCAAATCTTTGGAAATTAATTTTTTTTTTTTTTGACCGATCACTGCGGAGGGATTGAAAAGACAGATGTGATGATTGGTCGTGATCACTGAGAAAGCCGAAAAAGAGAGAAAGATTAGATAGTTAGATATCAAACCACAACAACAGATGAAAAAACTAAAACTTCTAAATTAAACATCGATCCAGTATCCTCCTGATTCTTACATGAACTTTAAACCTGATCAACCTGACTATTTGGGACATTAAAACATCATCCAGTGTTTGATGAAAGTAGCAGCGTTTTGAGATTCGAAATCAGAAAATTACTTAAAGGTGTTATATATATATTTCTTTCTCAAAGAAGGATACTCAAGTCCGTGTGAAAGAACTCGATGTCAGTTTTAACTGATATAGTTAAGCCTCATCAAAATATTGATATTTTTAAAACTGTCAGTCTGAATAAGATGTAAGCACATTTCACTCACAGCTTGACAGATGAGAATCCTGACTCATTATCATCATTTACTGCTTCAGCGCCATCTATCTTCAGTTGGGAGTCGTCCCTGTAACAATAAACACGGTTATGATGCAACTTTACCAGAAAAAAGTTCATATCAAAAGAAAATCCAGATTATTTTTAAATATGATATAAAACAGTGGAATCAGTAAAAAGAGGTTATGAGTTTTCTTTGTCATTTTATAAAATGTTCAACAAACAGGTGACTGATGACCTAGCAGATCGTAACGTCTCATGTATGGAGGCTAAAGCCATCCAAGTGGACGACCCGGGGTTCAACCTTTTTGACAAGAAACAGAGTCTGCTTTATGACGCTATAATGTCAATGTTTGCCTTTCTATCAACATGTAAACCAGAGGCAGTAGCATTCTTCTCTCTCTCCTTTGACTAATCCCTCCTGAAGGACGGACCAGATGAATCTGACAACTTTCTGTCATTAGATCAAACCCAGAAACTGCTTGATTCCAAAAACAATATGTACCACCACAAAGTGAAAAACCCTTTTGAATGTTTTTCTGGCTCTGCTGCTGAGAAGAAGACCTCAGGGTGGGAATCATATTACCAGAAGAGTTCAGTTAAAAAGTACTTTCCTATCAATGGATTTACATTTACATATATTTTTCTCTGAACAAGCAAACTGTGGAAATTTGACTGTTTGTGATCAAACCACATGCAGCAACTGGTCCTTACAGGGAAACTATGAAGAATGCATCAGATGTTCCTTTTAGAATATGATATAAAGCAGATTGTGTTCGCTCTGAATGGATGTCTCCTCTTTAAAAAGAAGCCTCCTCTTTTCTCTTGACTATGTCGAGTCGTTTAAATCATCTAGAAAGGAGGTCGTTTTTATTGACTTTGTGAATATGTTCAGCACAGAGAACAGGATTAAACCAGATGAGCTTTGATTTGAAGTATGCTGTTTTCTCTTCAGGTCAAACACTAACAGCAGAAATGTTCACTCATATAGATGCTAAAAATCTAAAGGACAACAAATGTAAATTAGCTATTAGATAACTCTGGTGCCATTACATTTAATCGTGCGCTGCCTCTGTAAAAATAATCAATAAATTAAAAAAAACAACATGATGTTGACTTACTCCATAAGCCAGTGTTTTAACCAGCGGTTCCTCATTAAGTCAGACATAATGAGTACTTCAGAGTCTGGTCTCTGCGCGGCTCTGGGCTGAAAAAGGAAATGCAGAGTTAGGATTCTCCATTTCCTCCTTAACAGACACACACAAATAAACACCTTTATCATTATAGAAATAAACTGTTGCACTTCAGCCACTCCTCAAATGGAGGTCAGTGCTCTCAGAGAAGGACTTTAAGACGTACTGAATTATATTTTTTTTACCTAAATCACAACTTTAAAACTTCCAGAGCGCACTGATCTGACTGTGTTTATATTTCAAGTTCAGAACAACATTTAAAACTAAAACATGTGTTTCTATTAAAGCTTAATTTGAAAAATAAATAAATCAAAGTCTGCCTGCACTGTCAGGGTCAGTGAATGCTGCAGATTAAAGTCATGAAGCTCACAGCCGACTGAGCAGAGAATCAGTACAGAAGATATACAAATATTAAGACTTATTTCAAATGTAAAACAAGAACACACGTCATGATTTTCCCTTTAAAAGTCTAAAAAACAAACAATGAAATAAACTACATCTGATTAGTTTGTGGATTTAGAAACACTGGATGGTACAACAGGCCTAGTCTACATTTATTAAAAGTTATTTATTTAAACAGACTTCTAAAATATACATCTGGAGGCGCTGGTAGTCTGGTGATTGTTATGAGCGGAGGCTTTGGACCTCCAAGCGGGCGGCCCGGGTTCGAATCCGACCTGTGGCTCCTCTCCCGCATGTCATTCCTCTCTCTCTCTCTGATTTCTGACTCTATCCACTGTCCTGTCTTAAAATTAAGGCAAAGAAGCCCCAAAATAAACCTTTTTGTCTAACCTAAAAAAGTTGTTCCAACTAAAGTGTAGGTTTAAATAATGACGTCAAATTGTCCTTTAATATTAATCAACTTTTATAAAAGTTATCAATATGTAGACTAACAAATGTTATCTTAGGTTTTATAGCGTAAAGGCTGCTGACGTGTTTCCTTATTTTGTACCCGAGCTTCTGAAGATATGAAAAAGTAAACACCATTAAACCAACTTCTAAATACTGAAATAAAGCTTATGAAGAATTCTTTACCCGTATGAGTTCACTCAAACTCAGATTAATTTCTCAGTTTTGTCTAAAAATGTTGTTTGTTTACAATCCGTATCTCTCAGGCCTCACAGGGTGTATCTCTTCAACATCAGCGGTGGTAAAAACACGGATATAAAATAAAGAAAACACGTCCTCTATACATTTTCTGACAAACTTTCCAAACAGAAGGACACAATTAAATAAATTACTTTTTTTAAGCAACATAAAACATGCATAAACGTTACCTTTAGATGGCGCGACACATTGATAATGAAAGTAACTGTTGCCAGATCTCGCGAGAGAAACAAGCTTCTCGGGTAGAAAGTATTTTCCTCTGCAGACACTTCCTGCACGTCAGTGTGGTTCTTTCTTCAGTTTCTTGCAGTATCTTTTCAGGGTGCTGATATTTTATGACAATGTGAAGATGATGATGTGCCAAAAGCATGTGTAGTTTCATATCTGCATAAGTAAAGCCCCAACACAACTATTTGTGTCTGTTATCTGTCTGCCTTGTTAAAGTGTCTCATGTGCAGACAGTTTGTGTCCTCTTCATCATTTGACAGACAAACAAGGTCTTGCAAGTTGAAGTGAAAACTTCTCTTGAACTAACTGTTTTACCGACAACACAAGGAAGTAGCCTATTTCCTTATTAGTGAAACCTTTAGGACAAGATGCTCCATGTTTGTCATTTGAAAACAGGATGCTGCTGCTCTTCTGATATAGACTAAAATAACCACTTTATTATTTTATTCTTTAAAGACTTTAAGAGTTCTACTTTCATAACTTTCGTGCAGGCTGGTCTCGAACTCGTTAATTTAGTTTTCATCTCGTAAATTAACGACTTTTCTCTCGTAAATTAACGACTTTATTCTCATAAATTAACGACTTTAATCTCGTAAATTAACGACTTTATTCTCGTAAATTAAAGACTTTAATCTCGTAAATTAAAGACTTTAATCTCGTAAATTAAAGACTTTAATCTCGTAAATTAACAACTTTTTCTCGTAAATTAAAGACTTTAATCTCGTAAATTAACGACGTCATTCTTGTAAATTAACGACTTTAATCTTGTAAATTAACGACTTTATTCTCGTAAATTAAAGACTTTAATCTCGTAAATTAACGACGTCATTCTTGTAAATTAAAGACTTTAATCTCGTAAATTAACGACTTTATTCTCGTAAATTAAAGACTTTAATCTCGTAAATTAAAGACTTTATTCTCGTAAATTAAAGACTTTAATCTCGTAAATTAACGACTTTATTCTCGTAAATTAAAGACTTTAATCTCGTAAATTAAAGACTTTATTCTCGTAAATTAAAGACTTTAATCTCGTAAATTAAAGACTTTATTCTCGTAAATTAAAGACTTTAATCTCGTAAATTAACAACTTTAATCTCGTAAATTAAAGACTTTAATCTCGTAAATTAAAGACTTTAATCTCGTAAATTAAAGACTTTAATCTCGTAAATTAACAACTTTTTCTCGTAAATTAAAGACTTTAATCTCGTAAATTAACAACTTTTTCTCGTAAATTAAAGACTTTAATCTCGTAAATTAACAACTTTTTCTCGTAAATTGAAGACTTTTTCTCGTAAATTAAAGACTTTAATCTCGAAATGAAAAAGATAAAAATGTTTAACGTGGCCCTAATCTAGTAATATTTGTATGTTTTTGCCTTTTCTGCTTTTTTTTTTGTTGCATATTCGAGCGTGTGAATCTTCAGCGGAAGTGACGTAATATACGCGGAAGCAAATATTTACCGCCAACTCTTGAGTTGCACAGCAACAAACATGGACGTGTCTCGCAAAATAAAGACGAAAGTGTCCTCCGGCTTCAAGATGCGGGGACTTATACTACGGCCGTATGTTATTTTAAATGATTTAATAAGGATTTAAACGTGTTAACGTGGGCTTTAGTGATATTTGAACGTTATTACCGTTTATGTAGAAACCATAGAAACAAAGCTAACGTTACCACAGCAACTGTAATATCTGTCACTTCGTAGAAACCGCTCTCGGTCCATCATTTTCTGTCTATATTGATACAATACTGTGTTTTCATTAGCTGGTATGTTTCTTTGGAGCTATGGGGTAGCCAGGCAAAGACGCTATAACTTTATGTGACATTTAAATTGTTGTTAATTGTTATTTTTATTTGTTTATTTAACAGGAACCCATAAAAAGTAGATGGCAAGCTTACAGGTTTCTAGTCGTGGCTTATTTACAACCCCATGTCCCTGGCTCAGCTTTTGGGATTAAAACAGAGACATTAGACTTAAATAAATACAGAAACAGTAATGCTATACAGATATAGACATTATCAACTCAAAACAAATAAGACCAAACAGTAAAATGAGGAAACACAGTCAATGGTCAGAGACTTGTTTTAGTTTCGTCTATAACAACTTGAGTTCTGTCAGTTTTTTGTATTTTAAGATGGTTTATGTTCCTCTAACTGAGAAGCATGACTGACTACAATTCACTTAGCAGACGCTTTTATCCAAAGCGACGTACATCAGAGAGTAAGAACAACACAAGCAAGGATCTAGAAAAAAGGGAACAATGTCAGTAAGAGCGAATGATCAGCTTTGAGTCTGATTGGACACACAGGTGCTGACAGGAAGTGACCAGAGGCAAAGCACAACATTGAGGGCAGTTCTTGAGAGCTCTAATCAGTATAGAAACCATCTTATAAGTCATCGTTACAAACAAAAACAATCGTCACAACCATCATCATCATCAATAATATGGAGACCATCACCATTAAGTTAGTAGGTATTCATAAAGAGCTGGGTCTTTAGCTTTTTCTTAAAGGTGCAGAGGGACTCTGCAGATCCAATGGAGTTTGGAAGTTCATTCCACCACCGGGGGGCGACAGAGGAGAAGAGTCTAGTCAGCGTCTTAGGACCCTGTTGTGAAGGTTGGATCAGACGCCTTTCATTGGCAGAGCGTCGTGGACTAAATGTAGTTCAACCAGGAGAGACACGGGGAATAAAGAAAACGATTCATTACAGTAGATAACATGGAAAAGTGTTTTGACAGCTCTTTGGAGCTTGGACTCTATTGGTTGGTTGATAAATCCCAACATAGAAAAAGTACTGAGTCCGCACACCAGAAGCTGCTCCAGTTAAATTTAATTTAATGGAATATCACATGTAACGTTTCAGACCCTCGCCCTTCATCAGACATGAACAAGTAAATGGACACACCTCCACATATATACAACCCAGAGGTCACCCGACCTGTCATGTGATATAAAACCAGGAACAATGTAGAATTTAAGTAATGCAAAACATTCATGTTAAACCTATGCATAGATACTACAACTACTACCACAAAAGTTTGGTGGATAAATCCCCCCCCTGGAGTTCAGACACAGGTGGTGGTGAGGCTTATGGAGTGAGGTTGTTTCCACATTTAGATACAGGATTTAAAAAAGAAAAGTCTACAAAACCGTCAAAACTAAAATTGAACTAATATTTCATATGTTTCTAATCGTGACTCATAGTTTAAGTGCTAGCAATAGGATATGTATTTCTGCACTCTGACTGGAACATTAACCGCTCGCTGGGATCTAAGTCAACTGTTTTCATCACATAATAGTCAACTCTGTTTTTATATTATCACTGAAACTTACTGTACAAATCTTTTCTATACCTCATTTTAACCGTCAACACGAGAACCAAAGACCCTCAGCTTAAATATTACTCAAAAAAAATTATTACGAATTTAAATAAATACATTTGAACTCTTTCATTGTTTGTAAAGAGAGGAAAAAAAGGAAAAACAAGAAGTAGAATACAAATTGTAGATCTTGAGAGATTTAGCTTGTTCCTGTCTTATATCAGCGATCAAAGAGGAGGAAACATCAACGTCATGTTTGTGTTCTCGTCGTCTTGTCCTCCAGGGAAGCCAGCAGATACCTCGTGGAGGTGCTCGAGTCCATCAACGCGTCTGAACTGGATGACATTATCGATAAGGTGCTGGATGCAGTGGAGAAACAACCACGTATGTACAGCACCGCCCTGCTCTACAGATCACTGGCAGTGTGTGCAGTGTTTATGTCTCTGTGTTCTTTTGAAGTGTGTTAACAGATATGTTTCCCCACAGTGTCCTCCAGTATGATAGAGCTGTCTGTGGTGGAAAGTGCTGTGCAGGATTGCACTCAGTCTTGTGATGAAACCATGTAAGGATCTTTCCCCCCCCTCTAATTATGACCATTATTCACAGACATATTGACGGATACTCAAGTTATCCACACTGCATCACTTCACATCTGTAAATAAACATGCATAGCATCGGAAATGCTAATTTAAACTTTTTATTAGCCTAAGTTTCTCTCAACATACCTTTACAGCTTTGAGTTGAGTAGATTTAGTTTATGATTTGTGTCATGATGCAAGTATATGCCTTTCTGTTTACATGTGGATGTGTTTTTCTATTGTTCTAATTTGTTGATTCTGGTGGAAGCAGCTGAATGTTTGGCAGCACTTTGAGTCCAAGACACATTTCCCCAAGGGGACAATCGAGTGTATCTTATCGTATAAGTCATTGAGAGATAAATGAAATAGTAAGATGCTCTTGTAATGCCTTTTAGAGACGAGGTTCAACTCGTATAGAAAGTGGAAACCTCTGCATTTCTGCTTAATGACACACCAGCTGAGAGTGCAAAAGAAAACAGAATCACCATGAATACCTTGTTTCTCAAAGCCTGCAATAACATCTCCGCTATCGTGTTAGAATCCAGTAGTCATCTTCAAGCTATTTAAGCCATGTTTAGATTTCAACATGTAATAAAAACGGTGTAGCATTCTCGTCACCTACTCCTATTGAACATCCTACTGATGATGGTTGTTTGTCTCTCTTCCAGAGATAATGTTTTTAACATCATTGGAGCCTACGATGTGCCCAGATACATTTACAGTGTGGAGCGGAAGAAGTTTGTACCGTGAGTAAAGATACAGTTTCTTTCCTTTCTACGTCTGAAATCACCAACAATAATTCTCAACTCAACTTTATTTACGTCGCACTTTACACACAATACAGTTGATCCAAAGTGCTGAACAGTGCAGATAGAAACTTACAGAGCTATGGATCCCTGAGCGTGATGGGTTGATAAAATTTGAAGGTAATTGAGTAGAAATGTGTTTTAAAGGCTTTATATTTTTTTTTGATCCAGCAGATGTCGCCCTTGAGCACCAGCATGAAACCAAAACAACTCGTGCTGCATTGTTGTGTTAGCATGCTAATGCTAGCGATCTTTATTATGCTGGTATCTTCACACTGCATGTAAATTTACCTGAAATGAGCGTGATCTAGAAACACAGTTAAGCAGTGAGTACAGTATGTTATTCTTCTTTTCTCTAGTCCCTCAATTAAACAACTTTTATACACGAGGGGAGGAGTCAGCCGGCCGGCCGGGCGATGTAAACAAACTGAAGATAGGACTCTGAAAACTCTGAAAACATCACAGACAGTGGGACTCGGGTGTTACACCCATTGTAGACAGTCATGACTCACAGAGTTATTTTCAGAGGATATACTTGATTTCTATTATATTGAAGTGTGAAAAATCACATAGAAAGCCTTTAAGGTGAGTCTTCTAAACACAAATAGTGGGTGAGATACGGATGTTGGGAGGTAGAGGGTTCCACAGTTTTGGTCCAGCAACAGAAAAGACCAGATCCCCTTAACACCTTGTCCTGGATCTAGGCATGGACAGAAGATAACCAAGTCCTTTTAACACCTTGAACACAGTCGACAGTATTTTAAAATGAGTCCTCAGCGTGACCGTCCTTTTTATACGACTGTGTTAAAACTCTGGCTGCTGCATTTTGTGCGAGCTGAAGACGAGATAAACATGACACGAGTGATGCCAAAATAAAGTGGATTACGGTAATCAATGTGAGTGGGTATAAATGCATGGATAACTTTCTCCAGTTTGGAATGACATAGGATGGTTGTTAATTTCAATGTGATTGATCCTGTTGACAGAAATTCTTCTTTTGTTGCCACTGGAGTTATAAAGTGAAAGCACTGCTGCTCTGTTGCGTTTTAAACGTGTTTATTTTGGCGTTTTCATTCAGCATTAGCATGACGAGCCATCCAGCCCCCAGTCTGTGTGGTGTGGCCAAAGACAAAGCTGAACTCTTCAGGGAGCGCTACACCATCTTACAACAGGTCAGTGAGATTTATCTTTTCATGATTAAACGTTTACGCTGGGAACTTTACCCGCTCTCTTCCAGCCTGTGTGCCGTTAACGTCGCATTCATACAGACGTGTTTTTTGTAGCGTACACATCGACACGAGCTCTTCACCCCTCCTGCAATCGGAGCCGCTGTAGAAGAGGGTCAAAACAAATTTCAGGTAACAATCTCAAACCACTGTCACTGTCCCTTTAATTTCTCCACAGCGGCTTTGAAAGTCTGAGATCTTCTTTGTGATTTCTCTTCTCTAGCTGAAAACAATTGAAGCGCTGCTGGGCAGCACGGCTAAACTGGGAGAGGTGATTGTACTGGGGATGGTCACACAACTCAAAGAGGTGAGTTCTGCTGATGAACAGTTCTTACAGGTTTGTTGGTAAATATTTAGAGTCTGATTTAATGTATTGATTTTTTTTTAAAGGGTAAATATTACCTTGAGGACCTGAGTGGAACAGTTCAGCTGGACATGTCTAAAGCAATATCCTTTTAGACATTTATTGGAGCTTGTGAACAAAGCCACATTTTTATTATGAAATATTTTGTTGCTTCAAACTCTGGTGTGTTCCTTAACTGGGTTTGCACCAGTTTCACAACGGCCTGTACACAGAGTCCTGCTTTGTCCTGGCAGAGGGTAAGAGAAACAAGTACAATCACAGCTAAAACGACGACAAAACCAAAACAAATTATGATTTAAACAAAAAGGTGTCATCATCAAATAATTCCAATGTGCCTCTGGTTCTCCAGGTTGGTATGAGGACTCGGTTTTCCACGTTAATGGCTTTGGGTTCCCGCCAACAGAGCCGTCATCGGGCACAAGGTGGGTGTGTCGGAGGTCAACTGTTCACCTCAAACTGCATTGAAGTGTCAGTGTGACAATATGAGCGCTGTATGTGATTCTTTCTTGTTTTTGTTTTTTTCAGGGCGTACTACGGCAACATAAACTTCTTTGGGGGTCCCTCGACCACCTCTGTGAAGGCCTCAGCCAAGCTGAAGCAGCTGGAGGAGGAGAACGAGGACGCCATGTTCGTCATTGTTTCCGACGTCTGGTTGGACAGCGTTGAAGTGATGGAGAAGATTAACTTAATGTTCTCAGGTCTTGTATCGCATCCCGGTCTGTGACTCTTCAGATGAAGAAAATGTGCTTTATGAGACACCAATAATATCTGTTTGTTTTTATTCTGACAGGCTATGCTACAATGCCGCCCACTTGTTTCATATTCTGTGGTAACTTCTCCTCCACCCCGTACGGGAAAACACAAATCAAATCACTCAAAGGTGAGACTCTCGGGCCCTGATCGCTGCAGATCTGAAGAATATTTATGTGTAACAGAAATAAACAAGATAGCATTTTAATCATATTTTATTAAACAGAATCGTTGAAGGCCCTTGCTGATGCCATATGTTCATATCCCAGCATTCACAGCAGGTAGGATTCAATAAAATTGTTACTCCAGTCTTTTTCTCTCACTATTTCTGTGTCTCTTATTGTTTACATACACATGTTCATTCCCCGCCCGCAGTAGTCGCTTTGTGTTTGTCCCCGGCCCTGAGGACCCCGGTCCAGGCACCATCCTGCCACGGTAAGCCCTCAGAGACCGTTCCTCTGTTTGAGAGCATATTGTGAGTTGTGTTTTGCGGCTTATAAAGACGTTGATTCGTATGTTTCCTCAGGCCCCCCTTGGCAGATCACATCACAGAGGAGTTCAGACAGAGGGTGCCATTTTCTGTGTTCACTACCAACCCATGCAGGTAACACATGCTTCTTATTCAGTTAGAAAATACTTGGTTAATGGTGAGCGATCAGGTTGGTGGTGTTGCTGTAGCCATGGTTGGTTTGTAAAGCCTTTAGGAAAATGTCTTTGACTCATGACAGTTTATTTAAAACGAAAGTGGACTGATTTTGTTTGGATTCTTTTCTTGTCAGGATTCAGTACTGCAGCCAGGAAATCGTCATTATCAGAGAAGACCTGGTCAACAAGATGTGCAGGAACTGTGTCAGGTTGCCCAATAACAATCTTGACATTCCAAACCATGTGAGTTTCAGCTTCTGGCAAAAATAAATGTCATACTTTTTGAAACTTCATGTGATTCAACATATAAGCAGTACTTTTGTTTTTACATATTTCTGATAAAGACATTATGGTTGCCCTCTTAACCTTGTTAAAATAAGTGGTCCTGTTCTTTTTGCAACTCTTACTCCCTAGTTTGTTAAGACCATCCTGTCCCAGGGTCACTTGACTCCCCTGCCTCTGTACGTCAGTCCTGTATTCTGGGCGTACGACTACTCCCTACGCGTCTACCCAGTCCCCGATGTCATCATCTTTGCGGATAAATACGACCCCTTCAGCATCACAAACGTGGACTGCCTCTGTGTCAACCCGGTAGGAAACACAGGAAAACAAAGCATGTGCTTTAATAACAAGCTGCTCCTTAAAAGTTCAAAATTACACTCATGCAGTATTTATTACCTCTGATTTGTGATACTCTCATTTCTACAGGGCTCATTCCCCAGAAGCGGTTTCACATTTAAGGTGTACTATCCATCCAGCAGAACCGTTGAGGACAGGTGGGATGTGTTTCTGGACATGCTTTTCATTTTCTATCCATGTCAATCACTGCAGATAACTGTAGTTTCAAATATCACCAATGGTCATACTAACTAAATATATTCTTATGTGTTCACAGCAAACTTCAGGGACTCTAAAGAAAATCATGGATTTAAAAATCAGTCATTTTGTCTTGATCGTGTTCGCTTCAAATGATTTAGTAATTAGACTGTTGCAGATTTTTATTGTGTATGTATGTGTGTGTGTTTATCATATGTTCTTTAATGAATAATAAAGTTTTTATACTTTGTACTTAGCATCCTGACATGTTTGTGTATGTGTAATTGTAAGACTGATTCTGACAAACCTGCCTTGAAGACAAGCAAGGAGGACAACAGAGATTTCTCACTAAGTTGTGGTGATTATGGCGTGCCAAGAAATGATTTTTAGACCTTTTGAAAATATATTTTCTAGCAACAGACAATTGCTGTATAGATATAACATCTGCTGTATATGAAGTGGATTATACGTAGCCCCTTGAATCACAAAAAAATTTAGGAAAAACATTGTGCCCACAAGATTTTTATTTATTGTTTGTTTACTTTTGAGACTTCGGGGGCTCAATTGGATTACACAGATTACTCTTAAATTAAAGAAAAGTATTTGTCAGTGTACTCTGGAATTACACTTTTGAGAGTTTTATAATTACCTAACTCTGAATATATATATTAAAAAAAAAAGTTTTCATCCTGTTAAGTCATTAAAAACACAAAATTGAAAGATTAAACTGTAGGACGTGACGAACGACAAGTGAGTTTCAATCTGACCTCACCAAGATGGCGGCTTTAACAAGTCGACTGTTTCCGGTCGTGCCCCCAGAACGCTTGTGATGACCTTCCATAGATGGCGTACTACTTTTGAAATTTGCAGCAAAACAAACATCTGACAAAGGTAAGATAACGACGGTGGTGGGGTGAATAAATAATGACCCAGGACTGAAGCTGCACGTGGTCGAGCTCCGGTAATGACGTGTTTATCGACAATACGGACTTTTGTTTGTTTTGTATCCAGCAGCCACAGGGACACCGACTGACGAACAGCTGTTTGGGGGCTCGCTAGCTTGTTTCACCTGCTATGTAGTTCAGGGTCTTTTAAACTAATAAATAAACACATTTCCACCATTTGGGTACTTTTTTTGTCGTTGGTGCAAAAGCTAAGCTAACAGAAAGCGTTGGTGTAGTACCCTAAAAGTTAAGCCATTAAAGTAGGTCAACACTGAGTAACCGTGCTGCGTGCTAGCTGGTCTGTCGCCCTGAATTATAAACATCATGTCTGCTGCTGGTGTCTCACATTTACAGATAATCCATCTCTTCATTCCTCTTTGTTGACCTTCACTGACAAACTTTGGGTTTCACAGCAGTAATGCATGCTACACTTAGCAGGGCAACGAGAGTGAGTGCTGTCACATGGGGCCCCTTAAGGAGGTCAATGCAGAATTTGCACATTTTGAGCCACTGTAAGTTTTGGTTTAATGTTTGTCAACCCTTGTGGCCCTCCTACTGATCTGGGGCCCCAAGCAGCTGCCTCTCCTGCCTGTTGACAAGCAGCTCCTCTGATTCTAACATTTGCTATTCACTCCATTGAAGAGGAGGATACATCAGCAAAAGTGATGTAATGTTTGCAACATAGAGTAGATAGAATGTCTTTATTGTCTTTATACAAGTGTACAACGAAATTATTTGGCTTCACCTTCAAGTGCACACACATACAAGCATCCACAGCTAAAAACAACAGAAGAAGAAAAAAAAAAAAAAGGAACTCTCATTCAGGTAAGATGGGCAATGTATGGTCGGAGTTATTTACAGGTAGTAGCATAACAGAATATAAATAGATATTGCAGAAATATAAAATAAATATTGCACAGTATGAAATGTAAAATATTGCAGAAATATACAATAAATATTGCATAGTATGAAATGTAAAATATTGCAGAAATATAAAATAAATATTGCACAGTATGAAATGTAAAATATTGCAGAAATATAAAATAAATATTGCACAGTATGAAATGTAAAATATTGCAGAAATATAAAATAAATATTGCATAGTATGAAATGTAAAATAATGCAGAAATATAAAATAAATATTGCACAGTGTGAAATGTAAAATATTGCAGAAATATAAAATAAATATTACATAGTATGAAATGTAAAATAATGCAGAAATATAAAATAAATGTTGCATAGTATGAAATGTAAAATAATGCAGAAATATAAAATAAATGTTGCACAGTATGAAATGTAAAATAATGCAGAAATATAAAATAAATGTTGCATAGTATGAAATGTAAAATAATGCAGAAATATAAAATAAATGTTGCACAGTATGAAATGTAAAATAATGCAGAAATATAAAATAAATGTTGCATAGTATGAAATGTAAAATATTGCAGAAATATAAAATAAATAATGCAGAAATATAAAATAAATATTGCACAGTATGAAATGTAAAATATTGCAGAAATATAAAATAAATAATGCAGAAATATGAAATAAATATTGCACAGTATGAAATGTAAAATATTGCAGAAATATAAAATAAATAATGCAGAAATATAAAATAAATATTGCACAGTATGAAATGTAAAATATTGCAGAAATATAAAATAAATATTGCACAGTATGAAATGTAAAATATTGCAGAAATATAAAATAGATATTGCACAGTATGACCTTCATTTCTTTAATCTTAAATTGCTTTTTTCTGCACCCTAATCGCTGTACTTGCTTAATGTACTTGCTGACAAATCTCTTGTCATTTCCTCACATCCCGTGTCTTAAAGGTGGGTTGTTTTTCTGCCTATTTTTAGATGATTGGGGGAAAAACAAATCAGTTAATTCAAGAATTAAGATTCAAGATTTTTATTTGTCACATGCTCATACAGATGTGCAGTGAAATGTAAAGACTGTTCCGCAAGGCCATGCCATAAACACTCAAATTGCTAATACACATATATACAGTAAAATAGAATATAATGTAAAATTTGAAAAATAAATATTTGAATATAGAATATAGGATAATGTAAACAGTGTAAAGTGTCCAGGGTGTCAAAGTGCAGATCGAGTGCAGACAATGTGCAGATTGGAATGTGTGGTGTGTGTGCATCATAACAGAATAATCCCATCAGCTCCGACCCGGCTGGATAACTTCGTCTTTCTCGCTCATTGCCTTCACAGGTGACAAGAGGCTCTTCCGACATGGCAGAGATAGAGGCAGAGATGGAGGAGGACATGGGCGACGCGCCAGCCAGAGAGGATGACAACGACTCGGATGGAGACGGGGACGGGGACGGGGATGAAGACGACAGGCTGTTTGCGTGGATGGTGAATGACGACATGGATGAGGAGGACGAGGAGGAGGACGATGAAGAGGAGGTAGAGGATGAGCAGCCCTTGGACACAGAAGCGTCCGAGTCGTTTGAGTTGGACTCCCCAGCCGAGCGCAGTGGTCATATAGCAGTTATTGACAGAAACATAATGTATGTGTGGGGTGGATACAAGGTAAGGACTCCAAAATCACTTATTTTTAAACTTTATTTATAAAAATCTTCAGAGTCTGTCTTTATTTAAATTACATTTCATCCCTCTTCTCTACAAGAACGCCCAAAACCACGGATTCTTTGACCTTTATTTACCAAGAAATGAGATCTGGACGTACAACATGGAATCAGGAGTGTGGTAAAAAGAAAAGTTTTAAAAAGATTCAAATCATTCTACCACTATTTTGATATATTTTCAAATAAAGTAAACACCTCAAAACATTTTGTCAACAGGACAAAGCATGCAGCTGGAGGAAACCTGCACACATCCATGTCAGGCAGCTGTGGGGTGTGCGTCGATGGAGTCCTCTACCTATTTGGAGGTCATCACGCCAGGGGAAACACAAACAGGGTACAAGCTAGTGTGTTTAATGAAGCTTTGACACCTTCTCTTCACGTTTAAATATAAGATATCAACGCGGGTCAGGCTGCTTTTTTTTTTTGATTCAACCATCTCTCAGACCGCTCTTATTCTATGCCGGACTTTGTAGATCTACCGCCTCCCCCTGAGAGCTCCAAGCCTCGTTTGGGAGGAAATGAGAGATCTGAAGGGAATGCCTCCGTCCTGCAAGGATAAGCTCGGGTGCTGGGTTCAGAGGAACAGGTGAGGAATGAGCGTGTTCTTGTTTCAGGGTTCCCACTCTCCTACAGAGTTGGTCATTTTCACCGCCACACGTTAAGTCAAGTTAATATTAATGTGCTTATATACATACATACAATATTTAAAACCAAGGCTTTATGTCATGTGAATGAAGCCACTTTAATGTGATGATGATCATGTTAAACATTAAAGTCTTTATGTGCGATTTTTCACACTTAAATGTAGAAATCAAGTATATCCTCTGAAAATAACTCTGTGAGTCATGACTGTCTACAATGGGTGTAACACCCGAGTCCCACTGTCTGTGATGTTTTCAGAGTTTTCAGAGTCCTATCTTCAGTTTGTTTACATCGCCCGGACGGCCGGCTGACTCCTCCCCTCGTGTATAAAAGTTGTTTAATTGAGGGACTAGAGAAAAGAAGAATAACATACTGTACTCACTGCTTAACTGTGTTTCTAGATCACGCTCATTTCAGGTAAATTTACATGCAGTGTGAAGATACCAGCATAATAAAGATCGCTAGCATTAGCATGCTAACACAACAATGCAGCACGAGTTGTTTTGGTTTCATGCTGGTGCTCAAGGGCGACATCTGCTGGATCAAAAAATCGCATATAAAGCCTTTAAACAATTAGTGGGAGAATAAGACTAATAACTCATTCTTATCTTGGGGTGGATTTTTGTGTTTCCACAGACTCATATTCTTCGGCGGCTATGGCTACTCTGCACAGGGATCTCATCGAGGGACTTTCGAGTACGATGAATCCTCCTCACTCGTGGTCTGTGAACAAAACTTCTCCTTGTGTGATTCAAATCTGAATGTGTTGATTATGTTCTTCTGGATTAGTTTTAGAGTCTTATCTGTATTTTTCTAACATTTGTACTGATTAAAGCTGTTTTTCTTCTGCCGCAGTGGGACAGCCCTGGGCGAGGCTGGAACAACCACGTTCACATCCTGGACCTGGAAACATCAACATGGAGCCAGCCGATCACCACGGTAAACCAGCGCCCAGAATACTCATCAACAATCATCTCACACAAGTCGGTCATATGCTGCATTCAGGCGCTGCTCGGGTGGTCCTGAGTTTCCGAGTTTGGAAGTCGTTCTTCCGACTTCGGTGTGTTCAAGTGATTTCAGTTCGGAAAGTCGGAATATTGTAACAACAGCACAAAAACAGCGTTGATGCTACGAAGAAGACGATCAGAGAAACGTCTCTGTTAAAAGTTATATTTGAGTAAAAAGTTGATGTGCAATACGTGAATTAATAAAAAGTATCTGAATGTTAACGAAACATATGTTGCCCCCCCGTGTGATGACGATTCTGACGTCAAGTCGGGAAATCGGGCACCTAATTCTTTTCTGAGTTTCATGTGCATTTTACAACTCGGAAACTTGTTTTTCCAATGTTTCTGACACCACATGAATGCACCATTACACACACACATTATACAAGCTTGATTACCTTTTAACCAAACAGACAGCCTCTCCTCTGTCCCCGACATGGATTAAATATAAGACACTGAAATATATCTGACATCCTTGGTCTCCTCTGTTTCTGTTTCTGCTTGATGTAGGGAAACACGCCGTCACCCAGAGCAGCTCACGCCTGCGCCACCGTCGGTAACAGAGGCTACGTGTTTGGCGGACGATACAAGGTGAGTAAACTAAAAACTTTGAGATGTGGACGTGTTTAGAATCTCTGCTGTGATGCAGGTGTGAGAGAAATTGCTTCCAAAAATATGAGATCTGCTAGTTCTCTGAAGAAGTACAAACTCGGTGCTACGAGTCAAAAACCTTTTTACCACATGCAGCTCGGAGAGAAGACGTTAAAGTTGTTTCCTCCACATCAAACAACTATAGGTCAATAAACCAATAGGAACGCACATCCTACAAATGCAATCACAATGTCTGGTACAACATAAGGAAGCCACCAGGTGATAGGATACCAGAGGGAAAGTCCAGATGTTTCACACCTCTGCTCCTGAGATTACAAAGATTAGTTTGGTCAAAACTCCCGTAAAGGTTCTTTTTTTTTTTTTTTTGGCTGATTCGACATGTTTTTATTCTCCTTTGTATTCCTTGTAGGGCTGGCCGATATGGACCAAAACTCACATCTCAATATTGTTTAGCTGAATGGCGTTACTCGATATATATCGATATGTCTTTTATTAACAGTGAAAACACATGGAAAATAAACTACCTGTTTGTCAGTGAGATGAGAAAAAGGTGACCTGGCACCTCGAGAACGTTATTTTAATGCAACATAAACTATATCCATATTAACGATATTGTCTTACCCTACATCTTGTTTGAAAATATATCGATATATCTTAAAAACTCGATATATTTCCCAGCCCTAATTCCTTGTATGGATTTGTAATGTTTCCAATTCCCACCTCTGTGTCCGCCTGTCCACAGAGCTACCGGCTAAACGACCTGTACTACATCGACCTGGACACGTGGGAGTGGCATGAAATGTAAGTGTTGGGTCTTCTCACAAACATGGAAGTAAAGAAAGTGAATATCAGGGCACCTTTTGTGAGTGTGGAAGGAAGATGAAGCTCATTATAGGCGGGGATATTTGCCAATATGTGTCAAAACTACTCTATCTACTATCTGCATTTTTGTATGTCTCATATCGACGTTTTAGCGACTTCTCACATCTGTATTTCTCTTGTTCCTCTGTGACCCGCTCCCCTCCCTGCCTGGCTGTAGGAGCGTTCCTCAGCAGGGTCCCGTCGGCCGCTCTTGGCACTCTTTCACCCCCGTGTCGCCGGACCACATCTTCCTATTCGGAGGTTTCACCACAGAAAGAGAAACACTGAGTGAGCTGAACATGTGTTCAAAAAAAGAAATCATCTTTTCCACTTCAGAGTAAGATGTGCTCTCATGGAGATATGTCTTTTTTCAGGCGATGCGTGGCTCTACTACGTGAGCAAAAATGAATGGAAGCCTTTCAAACACCATCACACGGAGAGGCCGAGGTAAATGACTCGTATGATCGTGAACACTCACATGTTTGTGCGCTCCTGTGTACCAAAGGGACTTGATGACATCATCATCATCCTGTGTGTTTCAGGCTGTGGCACTCGGCGTGCTCGGGTCCTGACGGCGAGGTGTTTGTGTTTGGAGGATGTGCCAACAACCTGCTGTCTCATCAAAGAGCTGTAAGTATCTAAAATGGACCACTTCACACACACATGAAGAGCTGTCCTCTAATTCTGACTCCTTTTTTTTTTTTAAACGTGGCAGGCTCACAGCAGCGAGCTCCTGGTGTTCAACGTTCAGCCCAAATCTCTCGTGAGGTGAGCGTGCGCAGGAGAAAAGACGACGCGCTACAATCCAGATTTCTGTCATGTGTTTTGATCTTATATTAACCTGTCTCCCCCCCCCCCTCCCCCCTTCCTTACCCTCCAGGTTCTGCATGGAGGCCATCCTGCAGCACAGGGAGCGCTTGTCGAGTTACTGGGACTGCTTACCCAAACACCTCCTGCACAGCCTCAAACAGAGGATGTCACGGGTCAACACACTGGGCTCCTAGGCCGTCATCTACTGCAGACGATTACAATGTGATGTGTATGTATGGACGAGATGAACGCCACCCTCAAAGCATTAAGTTAATGTGTGTGTGTCTGTGTGTGTGTGTGGACACTTGCATACATGAAAAGAAATCTCTGAGCAATAGTGAAGAGCAGTGAAGCTTTTAGGAAGGCTGACCGGCACACTGAGGTTTGAAGGGTTTCCAAAGCGTGTTATTATTTGTCTCCTCATTATCTCATAAGTTGAACTTTTTGCAAAGCCAGGAGAATCTTTTTAGAGAGGAAGCATCAGTCCAGGTGTTACTGAGCTCTTCCATACAAGAGGAGAGAGAGAGAGAGAGAGAGAGAAACATGTTCAACTACTGCTGGCTTCCTTTTTTGTTCTCACCTTTCAGTCAGAAAATTAAACAACTTTCATGTTGGAGGAATTCAGGAAGATTCAAAGAAATCCTGAGGAGGAGGCTAGAGAGCAAAAGTAATTGTTTGGAGTTTTTGGTTTGAGTGTTTTCCAGAGATCCCTTTTCCTCTGCACACATATTTAACCTCTGGTAGGATTAAAGGAGAGAGTTTGGTTCCTTCAGACCAACAGAAACACCTCTCATGGGACGAAATATTTTTACTTTTTCTGGTTTTCCTTTCAAAGTTTGACCAACATTAAATGCGGAGGTGCCAGGTTTGCTTTAATGGTGCATATATTTTTGGGAGCCTGTTGCTTCATTGATTTCGAGTATTTGGCTAAATCGAGTGTTTAACTTCAAAACAGACCTACGACTCGTGCTTCATTTCAAACGACTCTCCTCTCAGAACTGTTGATTTGTACTTTTAAGTAGTTATTTATATATTTGTGAGGTAATGTGACTTTTCTTTTTCTTCTTCTAAAAGGCTTCTGAAGCCTTTACATTCTCCCGAGCGGCTCGTGTAGCATCTGAACTTTAATTGAATCGATGAGTGAGAGAATGCGATTGGTCGGATGTTGAGCCACGTTGCACTGAGACGCCTGATGTCAGCAGGGCCGTGTTTGTATTTGCCTGGTTTGCACAATGTTCCCTTGGTGTTTTTTATTGTAGAATACAATGTGTACCGGTACTTTGTACTCAAATAATAAACACGTACTATACGTTTCAGTTTTGGTCTGATTTGTTTATTTACATGTTGTTTTTTTTCATTCTACACAGACGTGGCTCGATCAGTTCTGAAAATAAAAATGAGTCTTAATCACACAGGAGGACTCTCCTGATCCAGTGACGTCGTCAGCTTTGAATTGTTGGTGAAAGACTGTGAATGTACATCTCTCCGCTCAGCTCATTTCTTCTTGGCAGCCAGCAGGTTTGGAGCGGACACTTTCACTTTGCCCGGCATGTTCCTGGAGAGATCCGTGTCCTGCAAACCAAAAAAGGAGATAAGAGAGGGGATCGTTTGAACTGTTTTACAAAGAGAAACAAAATGGCTCCAGACAGCCTAGCAGATGGATAGATAAATACTTTATTCATCTAACAAGTTAGAAAAAATAGAACAAACAGAGAAAACAAAACATGGATATTAACAGATAATTAAAATACTAAAAGTCTTTATATTCCTGAATGCTTCTTATAATGGCACAAATCACCAGGGTGTTGGGGAGAGAAACCAGAAAAAGGCAGACAGTAACGTTCCACCCACAGATACAGTCATGAGCTGCTACCATTGGCCTGTGTGTTATAATGCCTCATGGCTGCAGGGACAAAGGATCTCCTATTTTGCAGCGCCCGCCATGTACGGAGGCTGTAGTCTTCATCTCGAATCTGACCTCGGGCCCTTTGCTGTATGTCATCCCTCCCTCTCTCCTCCTCTTCATTTAAAGTCCCGACTGAAATCGCTACTTTTAGTTAACAACAGAAAATGTCTGCATTATTATAAAACCTTCCCCCCTCTATTTAAATAATGAATTCACTATTTAAATGTGTCTTTATTGGTTTATTTTATATTCTGTATATTACTGTCTTTCATTTGTTCTTTATGTACTGTATGTTATTTAGTTATTTAATCTGCCTTTTACTTGTGATATTGTTTTTTTTACCTGACTGTATATGTGCATTACTCTTCTTGAATAAAGTTAAACAAAAAAAAAAAAAAACGAGTTAATGCAGCCGGTTCGGGTAACGCAAATGACGCCACTTCCATACTGAATGAATCAGACGAAGTAGGAACAAATATCTGCCTATTGTGCGCGCCGACTGAATAGTAGATACTAAACAGGATACAGCATGGATAGTAGGTGCTGCCTGCTGACAGGTTGAGTAGGTACTTAGCAATTCGGATGCACCCACAGTCTCTCTTCAGCCTTCCTTTCCAATAACGGTAAAAATGCTCAAAAACAGAGTTCAACACTCGTTAATGTGGACTTGACTACAACACAACTTAATCATTCATAAGCAACGAACAGAATGGATGATCACTTTTCATGTGCAGCAGACGTCTTTACCTTGACACTGCGGAACAGGTCCTTCTCTCGGGGCGAGGTCTCTTTGGTTTTTGTGAAGCTGAGGACCGCAGTGCGTGCGGCTAGTAAGAAAAATAAACAACATCACCGTCGAATCCAGAAGCATTCGTTTATTATCACATACTGAAAAAGTGAACGGGTTTTTAATGTGTCTCTGTGTTTACCTTTGCCTTTCTTCTGGGCTCCAGGGGTCAGTTTCACTTTGTGTCTGGGAAACAGAAGTGACTCTTTTAGGCCTGTGCATGCTTCACTTTGCCTCTTGCATATATATATATAAAAGGTTCAGTGCACTCACTTGTAGTTGGTGAGGGCGGTGTATGGAGCGCAGACGGGCACAGCAAACAGCAGCACGTCTTCAGCATGAGGCTGGCCCGTCAGAGAAGTGAGCAGGTTCTCCGCTTCCTGCACACAGGTAAACATCAGTCACACTAATGTCAGTAACAAACAAACATGTACCCACCAAAATAAGATAAATATTCAAAAGGGAATTAAAAAAAGGCTTTTTATTTTTATCAAAAATGTTCAGGTTAAGGACTCACCTCTGCTCCGGGGTTGTCCTGGTCCACGTCATCTTCCTGAAAAAAAAAAAAGGACAGCATCGATAATAAACAAACAAACAAACAGACATGATATCTGCGAGTTTTAGAGATAACTTTCATGGAATTGGTACCTTGTCCTCCTGTTCAGCAGCTTCTCCCTCCTCTCCTGGTCGTTTCTCCTCATTCATCACCTCCCCTTCTCCCGTCGCCTCGGCCTTTTTCACCGCCGTCTCCACGGGCCGAGGTTTCTGCGGTTGTTTCTGAGGAGCCGGTTTCCTTACGGGTTCGTCTTTCCCCTTCCCTTTCTTTCCTTTCTTCCCCTTTTCCTTCTCGTCCTTGGTGGAACCGGCTGACTAAGAAAAGAGAGCAATAACAATGTTAGGCCCCCGGTGTCCACCTAGCGGTTTTTGTCTGAGCGTTAGCATCTTTCTAAAATAGTTTTCTGAGAACTTCCTTTTTTGTTCGGCCGCTCTGAGCGCCTTCAATTTGGATTTTTGCCACCTACTGATCATGTCTTGTACCCACATCCACTTTGCTCCATGTCTGCGAGGGTGTAACCGATCAATCAATCAATTCAATCAATTTTTATTTGTATAGCGTCAACTCAGAACAAGTGTTATCTCGAGACACTTTACAAAAAGCAGGTAAAAGACCTTACTCATTGTTATGTTACAAAGAGCAGGTAACAGACCTTACTTATTGCTATATTACAAACACCCGGCCTATCCATCATGAGCACTTTAGCAAAGCAGCAAAAGTTACAGTGGTAAGAAAAAACTGCCTTATTAAAAGGCAGAAATCTTCGGCCGGATCCCCGTCTCATGACGAAACAGCCTTCAGAGGCCTAGACTGCGCCAGGGTTGGAAAGGGGGAGAGATGGGATAAGATGCAGGAAGAGGGATAGGGAGCAAGGGGGTGGGGGGAGGCAGACCGTCCATCAACAATCCGGTGGGGAGGGGGTTGACAACCGATGTCAAAAAACATACAGTAAAATGGAGCAGTGGTGGTCTTACAGCTTGGTTGTCATGGAGACAGGACAGACATGCAGCAAAGTGGACACGGGGGGGGGGGGGGGTCTTACTCAGTTTCAAAAAGTGTGTATGAGGACCGCATGGACTTGACCAGCAGCAGCAGCGGATGGACCGTACATAGTGAACAACGTACCCCAAGCAGCTGCATCATCAGCTCCCGGTCCTCTTCATCCTGGTCTTTGTACTTCTCTTTGATCTTCTTTAACTTGTTCTGGAGTGACATCACAAACACAGATTGAGCATCGAACACACATTGTGACATGATAGGGCCATGTTTATTCAAACTCTATACTCGACCTACAAAGTTGTTGTTTTGTTTGACCATGTTTCACTGATGTATGAACGGACTGCTGGTATTTTAGCACGGTGTAGTCCAAGGCTCAGGCAGTGATATGTAACCATCATTATTTTGTCCTGCATTCCCTTTAAATGTTTGTCATCTGTATCGTTTAAAGTCCGATCACAGCAGAACATCTTATCTACAAACTCTTTACCTTTTGACCTCTCTTTAGAGGCGGCTGGGAGGGGCCTCCTCCTCCTCCTCCTCCTCCTCCTCCACCTCCTCCTCCACCTCCACCTTTGGATCCCTGATCACCAGCAGATCCACCTGCTGAAGTCTCGGTCTTCTCCTCGATGTCACAGCCGTCCTGTTTCTGTTTCTTCTTCTTCTCCTCTCTGGTTGCAAAGACAAAAACACCTGAGGGTTTAAAAAAACAAAAAAAACACCCTGGATCCACTTATAAGGAATGAAGAAAGGTTGACATCCCCCCCCCACCCTTAAACTAAGTTACTGAAAGCCTCTTAAGTGTAATTTAAAGGGATACTTCACCCGTTTGCATTAATCTTTGTATCATTAGAGACCTGGTAGTATTTCTGAATGGTCGTGCATCCCGCCCTCATTTTCCCCTGAGACGGGAAAGATTCTTATTTCCTGTCTGAAAAGGAGCCTCCGATGACGCACAACTCATCAACGGGTGAAATATCCCTTTAAGAACTCCATCTTTAACTCCATTCATTTACCTCCTCTGCTTGGCAGTCATGTGTTTCTTCACCTGGGAGTCTTCTGCCTCAGCCTGAAGAGAAATGAATAAATTATCACCATCATGACGTCTTAATCTTTAAGTATTCACCGAGATTAAGGTGCAACTGATTACCTGTGTGGTCACTTCCTGTTTGAAACCAGGGTTCTGAGCGCTCCTAGAAACAAATGGAGACACTTTTTATTAACTGAGCTCAACTCATCGTCATGTGCGCGGATCTGTTTTCCCAGCGTCGGTAACAGCTTTTCACCTGCTGGGCTGTAAATGCGAGAGGGAGATGGTCGTATCTGGAAAGCTAAATTCTTCACTCGTCTCCTCTTCCTCTCCGCTGTCTTCCTCCGCTTCCAGGTTTTCCTCGTCCTCGGGAACAGCGGCCAGTTCTCCACTCGCACCATCACCCCCCGCCCCCGTCTTTTTATTCTTCTTATCCTTCTCTCCATCTTCTGCCGCTTGATCGTCGTCACTGCTGTCATCACCTGCAAAAGGCGGCAGAGTGGGTTTGAATCCGGTCGTCCCCATGAAGTCATAATTCTGTGTGTGTGTGTGTTACCTGTGAGCTCCTCTCCCTCCTCTAACAGCTCAGAGGTTGAAGACGCCACCTCCTCCATGTCGTCCTCCACAGTCTTCACCTTCCTCTCCCCTCGGTGCCTGGACACACTCTCGTCGTCCACCTGCACAGCGGCCGGCATGAAACTTCATTCTTGTTGACGAGGACTCAAGAGTTAAAAAATTGTGCACTCAATGTTTTTTTTTTGTTTTTTGATTTACCTTGAAGAGAAATCCAAAGCCCATAATCAAGTAGGAAGGAGGAAGAAAGTTTTTCTTTCCTGAGAACAAACGTTAGAGATCTTCATTCAGACAAAAGAACGGCGTCTCATATGTGGATTCAAAATCTTAAACTTCAGCATGTTCTACCTCTGATCATGAAACTCCCAGTGGTCAAGTACTCTCCGGTCGGAGCCGTCTTAGACACCTACAGGGAGAAAATACATGCATCAGTGTTTTCCACCTATAAATGATGCAAACAATTCCATTACTGTAAAACTTAAACTTGAATTATGTGAGAAATATAAAAAATGTTATGCTTATGTTGAGGATTTCAGTGCTTAGTCCTCTCATATGGATAACTCACCTGATGATGATGAACCCACCAGGCGCTGGTGATGATCTTGGCGTCCCAGGCGGCACTATAGCACACAGACATGGTGCCCGCTTCTGTCAGGGTACGTGGAGGGATGGTCTCACCTGCAGCGGGAGGACGAGGAGATTGAAAAGTAACAAACCACAGAAGATCCAAAGACCTGATTAAAAAAAAAAACAAGTCAAGTAGTCTCACCTGAGGGGTTTTTGATGACACAACTAGTCGCTCCGTGGAGGTCAGCGTGGACATAGATATCACCTGAAGAAAAATGAAGTTACATATGAGGGCGACTGATGTACTGAAGACCTAAGCGAGCATGCCTCCTTACATTCTATTGACTCCGTTTATCTGTGTGCTCTAACAGGCTGTTTGGAGATTTTCCCTTCATGACATCACAAAGGGCAGTAGCCCCTCCCCCAGGTGGGTGACACTCCCACAGCTAGGTGTTTGTTCTGCCCTCTGAGTCTGCCTTCTCAACGTAAACAATAGGACATGGAGCGAGAAAGCCCGAGACACCCAAGCCCTTCCAGAGAGGGGGCGTGGTCAGACACCGCTCATTTACATATTTAAAGGTACAGACACAGAAACAGCCTGTTCAAAGCAGGGCTGAAATAGAGGGGTTTATAGACATGATCAAATACAGGATCAGAGTGGATTTAGAACAAGAAACTTCACACACATGTTTTGGGGAGCTCTGAGACTTATTTAAACTTTTTTTAAATGAGGAGAATATGTGACCTTTAACGTACCTCATTAATGTAAGCAATATCAGATTGGTATGTTGTGGTTGGGTCTCTCACAGTGACAAGCCTATTTATTTTATTTTCTTATAGTATTTTTGTGGCTTTGTGTTTGATAGGACAGATTCAGGGCAGTGTTGGGAACGAGAATCGAACCTGCGACCAGTGTGACGAGGACTGTATGATCCTGATATCATGAATAACCAACTTTGTTATCTTATTTGTTATATGAGATAAATGAATCTGTTATTATGGAGACAACCAGCTTTGATATCCTGAGACAACAAGAAAAATAAGTCAAGCAACTACGACTTAAATGAACTCGTAATCACAGGAAAATATAGCAAATCAAATGTTTGGATGCGTGTCTGCTTAGGGCTTCCGTCCAAATGAGCTCATGTTTGACTCTTTCATTCACTTTCAGGTGAAGTGTTTGCAGACAAGTCACCTGCTCGGAGGTAGCGTTTCACAATCATCTCGTTCTGCTGCTGATCTCTTCCTGCGATGACGAGATAATTCTCTGAACTGATGAACCATAAGAACTTCTCAAACCTGCACAGAAGAGGAGGAATGGTTAATGATAATTCAAAGGCTTTACAGCTCCATACATTGCTACTGAATGAGTTCAGGAGCGTCGTGTCATGTTGGTCTTACCAGTAGACTTTTCTGGCCTTCTGGATGGTGGTCACTGTCTGCACCTCTTTGAGTGTTTTCTGTGTTTTTTTCTCTGCAGATTTCATCGCCTGAAAAGGGATAAAAACAGGAAGAACAGTCGACATTTAGTTTGCAAGTTAAACTGCAAATGATCTAAAATGCAAAACTGTAAAGCGTTCTTACTTTTCCTGCAGCTTCGATTGTTTTATGTTCTTTCTTTTCAGCACTGCGTTTGCAGTCGTAGTACCTTAAATAAGAACAATAAAAAAGGTCTGTCAGCTGTGAAGAAAACACTGAAACTGACTTCTGTGTCTCAAGAATGACGTGGAACTTACTTTTTGGCGTTGGCGTAAGCCGACAGGCCGAGGTCCACATCCACCAGCATGGGTTTGTCCTTTTGCAGCTTCTTGTTCTGTCCTTTGTTTTTGTTCTTCTTCCCTTTCTCCTCCACCACGTCTCTCTTCTCCTCCTCTTGCAGGTCCTCCTCAGAAACATACGGATTCCTTGAGAGGGGCGGGACACACATGAAGCAGAGTGTTTCTGTGCTACTGGTTTCTGTGTCATCAGTGGTCATCTTACTTTAGAAGCATGGTGATGTGGTTGGTCTGCAGCTTCAGCTCCTTGATGGCGCACGCTACGGGGTCTCCCGCGGCTTGAGCTTCTTTGACCAGAATGCCGATCTCGGTCCAGTCCACCTGATTGGCCAGCGCGCTTCGCACCACCTGCAGCGCTCTCTCCACCATGGGCAGGTTCATCTCCACCAGCTCACCTTTGACCCTGTCCACCTCCTGCAACACACAAAGCAACTCTTCTTGATACACTATAGCAATGTTAAGAAAGATAGTTTGTTCATCTAAAAAAGGGAAAAGTAGGAGCAATTATAGGGATATTTGCAGAAGATAATTATTATTTAAAAAAGTATTTGTCAATTTCTTATCACATGTTTGAGCTGTTTGCTTTGCCCTGCTGCATTAAACACGGCTCTGACAACAACACAGCCAGCGGGACTCGAGCTTCTCCCTCATTGTAGACAGTCATGAGACACAGGATAGACTTGATATCTGCTGTATTTATGTGTATCATGTCACATGTTCTTCCTTTGAGGATTGTGGTCTTAAAGGTATAGTGTGTGACAACATCTAAAAAAGGTTCCTATTGGTTGCTCTAGCCAAAGAGATAAATCAAACCCTTGGTGCGTGCTGCCTCTAAAACATTTCATAGCAACAAACCAGGTGCTCTGATCAGTAACAGGAGAGCTGCTGTTAAAGGGGCATGGCTGATATCAGTATCTGATTCAGAGTTATTCAATCAGGTTCTGTATCAGAGCGAGCAGGGTAGACGTCCGGATGAAGGCAGTTAGAAAATTGCTGTGGCTTCAACAGTTATCAGTTCGAGTTGACTGGGTAACCACGGCAATGAGCTGGTTACCAGACCCTTTGAACGGAGAGCTGGTCCAGCACCTCATGTAGAGTGGTAACTCAGGACCCAACAAAAGGTAAGAGTTGCTCTTTATGCTGACCTGTGCCTGGTGCAAGGCCTCCAGCCTCTGCTCGTGGTCCTTCTTCACATTCTCCAACTTCTTCAGAGCCTGTTTCTCCTGATGCAGGGCCTTCATGTCGATCTTCTGACTCTCCATCTTGGAGAAGAACTCATCCACCGCCTGATGGAGAGAATACAATTTGATTCCCTACGATTTGGAGAAAGAACCACAATTCAAAAGAAATAAAAACCAGTCATGCTGAAATCTACCTTGTCAAAAGTATCGAACTCCAGATAGTGACTCTTTGCATGCTGGGCAAAGAGGAAGGGGTGGAATTCATCGTATCTGTAAGAAGGCGTCATTGACTTACATTAATAACATGTTATATTGATAACAAGCTTTAAAATCATGTGGTGCAGGGTTCTTACGTGAGCAGTTCTTCGCTGGGTTTGCCGGGAATTAAGCTTGGTTTCTTCTCACTCTTCTGAATGATGTAGCCCTTAAACAAAAACATTTAGAGTTAATTTATGTATGATCTTAAAGAGGAAAACAAAGTATTTCCTCTCAGTAAATTATGCTTGTGAAAGACTTCTTTTACCTTGCCTGTGAAGTGCTCCGTTCTCTCCATGTACGTTTCTGCAATCTGCAGCGCTTCAAGGATTTTTGCAGCTGAAAAATCATTCAGATCAAAAACTGTATTCAGAGATTGATACAGAGATTAAAAGCATTAGGGATTAAATATAAAAAAAAAAAATCTAACTGCTTAACTTTACCTTCAACTTGGCCGTCCACTTTGACCGAGGTGGGTAGACCCACCTCCATCAAGCTGTGTTCTATCAGCGTGGCTCCATATGCTGCAGAAGAACACAGAACAGTCTGTTTGTTTACATCACAAAGAGAAGTTTAAGATTTTCAGCTAAAGAGACTTTTTTTGTGTATCGGTTAAAGATTAACAATTCAGAAGTGGCTGCCCCGCTACTTACTAAGGTGAGGATTCAGGACCCTTTTCACCTGATCTCCGTTCTGGGCTTTGCTGAGGATTTCTGTGAGTCTGCAGAAAAAAAAAAGAAAAAGATAAACAGAGATTTTATGTTTTTACTTGTTAATGAATCATTCTGATTGTTTTCAAAGGTGTCAAGCATGCAAAATGATGTTGTCACCTCTCTAAGCTTATGAGAGGTTCAGGGGGGCGAGCACTCTCCACAGGGTAGCGCTCTCTCACAGCGATCTTCACGTCTTCTACCTCGGCGGTCCGAAACCGCAGCAGGTTGAGGATGGTGTACTCGTGGTCTGCCAGAATGATGTTACCCTGGAGGAGGAGATGGAGAAGCATCAGTGTCATAGTTTGGGGTCAGAGCTCTGCAGAAAAGCCCTGACAAACATCTTGAAAGTGTTTTTCTCACCCGGTCATAGAGCTCAATGATCAAGTGGTAGGCCGCCTCGTCTGACCCGAACTGGATGTCAACAATCCTGTCAACGCCGAGCTGCTTAACCTGGGTCAGCCGCCGAGTCTTTAGGTGCTTACGACACTACACAGGAACATGGTTTAAACATCACAACTAAAGCATAAATAAACAAAAACAGGTCTGATGAGGACTTTGTGGGGGGAGGGGGAGCGAAGAAACTAATGAGAAAAATATCAAATCTGTTTAGTGATACACCGAGAGTTGTTCTGCTTGGTGTTCGATCATAAATCAAATATGGATGGGTGTGTAAGACATTTTTGTTTTTACGTGCTTTATTAATCCCAGAGGTCACATTTTAGACTCTGTTATTTAGAGACATGCTTCTCACACACACAGGTCTGAAATACACACATGCACTAACAGAGAGATGTCAGAGTGCAGGTTCCTCCACACGGAGCTCTGCACCTTGCTCAGGAAGTGACCTGGCACCTCTTCAGCAACCAGACCACTTTACATACTTTGGTCCATACCGGGACTTGAACCGGGGACCCCTCTGGCTGCAGCTCAAAAGGCTATTCAAATAATTAAAACAAAAACAAAAAAACTCGGTAGGTCGGTCAATTGAAATAAAAAGACGATATTCTTACTTTCATTGCGAACCCTGAAGGCATCATGTTCTTGGGCCATTCAAAGTCTGTGGAGTGAATCCGGGTCCCAGACTCAATCAGGAGGACGGCTTTGCTGTCCGGCCTGAGACAACAACGAGACACTTAATTATACAAACAGACTCCAAGCGTTTTTTTTTTTCATCTGTATCGGTCAACAACAAGGAACTCTGCATGATCATATTAAATCAGGATGTATGATGATTTGATCAGAGATAACCTACATTTCTTTCAAAGTTCAGTGAGCTGTTTGTTTCCCTCTTTGCTCAGGTTTTAAAGTTTACACACCAGGTGTTTGATACACAACAACCTTAATTTTTTATATCTTTCTTCTTTTGGTAGTATCTGTCTGTTTCTGTATTTGTGTGTCAATATGTGTAACAACCTGGAAACACATCTGGAAAAAAAAGTACAAAATAAAGATTTTACTAACCCCTTGAGGGGATTTTTTTTGCGGCCCATGACTTCAAATGAAGAATCAGAAGATTTTGGGGCCTCAATTAAGATCGGCACATTATCTTATTTTTCTTTTTCATGTTAATAAGGGCTGAACAATATTCCTAAAATAGAAAATGTTCAGTAACATGTATGTTGTTGTTGTTTTTTTTAAATCTACAGCTTTTACTATTTTCCACATTTTTTTGTAAACTATGAAAAAAAACGTACGCAAAGTTTTTGCAAACAAGCGGACTGTTGTTTAACCGTTTAATGACCTGAGCTACATGAACCACGTTACAGGTTTGATTCTGAGAAAAAAAATTAAGTAGAACAAAGAAATCAAAATATTAGATTTCCTTTTATTAAAGGATTTCTTTAGCGAAAAAAAAAAAGTTTGGACACCACAACCTTACATAATACTTTAAGAATGACAAAGCAAGTCTGCAGCATGACGTCAACTTTGAACCATACTTATTCATACTACCTTTATACAGAGGCGGTTCTAGACCACTTTTACTCAGGGGGCCAAACTGGGGCCAGTTGTTTTATCAGAGGGGAACATTAAACCCAGGAGAAAAATAGACAAAGATGATCGCTTTAAAAAAATATATAATATGCCAAATAATAGCTTACATCATAAAATACCATGATTTATATTTGTTTCAGTAACAGAATTGAATACTAGATAGTGAGTCCAGTTGTTGAGTCAAATACTGTGTGTGTGTTTTAGTATCTTAATTTTTATTCTAAATTTAAATTGTACTGTGTTCACTTTTTATCTGAAATCTTTGCTGCAGCTGTAACACTGTAAATTTCCCCGTTGTGGGATAAATAAAGGATTATTTTATCTGTGTTTTGAGGGGGGGGGGGCACAGGGGGGGGCAAAGCTCAGTGTTACAGGAGCACTGGCCCCTGTTGGCCCCTGCCTGGAACCGCCCATGCCATTATATCAACGCGAATGCATTCCTCCTTGTAATCAATGAACAGTTTTAAGAGAACTTTTTGACCTGCATGACGTCATTTGACTGAACTTCCAGTCATATGAACAACAAGGTGAAACTGTTGACAACTTCACAAAGTGTTCTTACTTCTGCAGACGGATGAGATACGTCTTGTTGTCGATGTCATACACGTTGTTGACTCTCATGCCGATGTAGCTGAAACAAACAAACAAACAAACAAACAAACAGTTGAACGGTTGGTCAACATCTGTCCATGAATGAAAGGTGCTTAGCTCTGCAAGCCGAGCTAAAGGCTACACCACTCTACACCTTACTTGGCAGTGATTTCGGCAATAACTGCCCGGATGTCCACAGTGCCGAATCTCGTTTTCATGTCGACTGAACAGCGGGGGACAATTTAAGAGAAGAAAAAGTCAAAAGAAAGGGATGGAAAAAAAAAAGTCACATAGCTGGAGCGACATCAGCGAGAAATACATGCAGGAAATTATTGGTCAAGCGCATGCGCACAACTGAACAGTCAGGTTGAGACGGAAGCCGATGTGGAGCAAAAAAAAAACGGAGCAGGTCCACGCCTTTCAACTGCACTTCGCGTTGGAGAAGAGAAAAGCGGTGGTTGTTGTGTTTGGGATGATGCCTGGGTAACCTTCTGCTGTCACATGAACGCTGTGGAGCTGTGCAGCTTTTGCAGGGACCGCATCTTGTTGTAATCCAGCTCATGGTCGGCTTCGGGGTGGAGGGGGGGGGGAATTAATTTGTGCACCGATGATGCACTACTCAAACTGGCTTGTCGGCGTGAAAAACAGGGCAAGCCTCCGAAATGCGTGCAAAACACCCCCGAACAGCGACTGGAACAATAGGGGAAATGTTGTGGACGTGAAAAACAACAACCCGGGGACGAATGAAAAGACGTCCGAGCGGAATATCGCGCAGCACCTCTGGAGAAAAGGTAAAGATGCTGAAATTAAAACAGCTGTAAAGTCATATTCGCACTAAATAAATGGGCCTGCAGCCAGATATTCTGCTACATTTGCATTTTTTTTTTCTAACACAGCAGGGTTTAACTGCGCTGTCTTGTTCGTTTTGATTTGGGGGGGTGGGGGGGGGAATAAATGGTCAAGAAAGAGTGAAACATGCAGCCGGAGTTTTGAGTTTCCTGCTCGGGTCAGAGGGCGAAGGCGTGCTCCGTTACCAAGGCGACGGTCAGCGCTAACAGGGCAGGCTAACGGCAGAGCTAGCAGCGTCCTTTAGAACCACCGCGACACTCCTCCGGTTCACACGGCTCGCTTTGAAGTGTGTTGTTCGGTAACATACGGGACTGATAATCGAGTTGAATGCGGCGGAGGAGGAAGAGGAACGCAGTGAGAGGTCAGAGTTCAGAGTGATGACAGGACTGAAAGGTGCTCTCTCACACACACACACACGCACACGCACACACACACACACACACACACACAAGCGTCGCCCTCCAAAGATTTGTTTAGCTGTTTTAAATGTAAACAATCTAAAAACTGACGTCGATTTAAAATGTGTCGAGTTTAAAAATGTTTTTATTTCTATTTTATTATTTTTTTGCGTTGATAGAATCGACAAAAAAAACAGTTTTTCATACTCTGACTTTTCGCTTCACGGTTGCTAAGCGACAAGTATTAACTGATTAAAGCGGTTACATTTATTTATTTTATTTATTTTATTTATTTTATTTATTTTATTTATTTTATTTAATTATCTTGTCAATATTTTTTTGCATTTAGATGCTTATTCTTATTTTTTTAACCAAAAAAAACTAATTAAAAATTTTCTCTGAACTGGCAATAATTTACTGAGGATGTCTTTATACTGAATTTATTGAGTTTTTGGATTTTTGATCAAACAAAAAAAGACATCTAAAATGTCAGCTGGATAGGGGGAATTATATGGAGCCCCTGCAGTCCCCAAAATATTTTGCACAAGTTAATACCATGTGGGAACAAGTTATTATGTTGTGCATACAAGTTAATATCTTGTGAGCATAATATAATTGTCTTGTGCACACAAGATTTATTTTCTTACTTTTGGGACTTCAGGGCCTCCGTAGAATTGGGGTGTGGGGGTTGTCTTTCTTAGATAGAACAGCTGAAGAGAGACGGGACATTTTGGAAGCAGAGAGTCGGGCATGACATGCAGCAAAGGGCTGGAGTCGGATTCGAACCCATGGCTGCTGCGATGAGGACTACAGCCACTGTACATGGAGTACGCAACATAACCATGACTAGGCTGTAGGGGTGCCCAAGAGGGGGCATTTGTAAGACTGATTTACAGTCATTTTAAGAATAGACTGGTAGATCAAGTGCTAATAAAAATGATTGACTGCACCCCTTTTAGACATGAATCAGAATATCCTGAAACCCTATCCCAATAAAAGTATCGGGGGCATCAATGTCCATTGGGGCTGTCCCAGTTTGGCAGACATGATTTCCCTACAGATTATGCCGACTTGTTTTTGTTCTGCTGTTGGGCTACTCATTATTCTGATCTGATATTCTGATTTAGAAAAAACTTGTCCATGATATTGTGCATTTTGTCAAGACTTTTTTTCATTCTCGTTCAGGCTACAAAATCATCAAAAAGATCGGCGAGGGAACATTTTCCGAGGTGGTGAAAACTCAGAGCCTGAAAGATGGAAAGTTCTACGCATGTAAAACCATGAAGCAGACTATAAACAGGTGTGTGTTCTGCAACAAGCCGGCAATCAGACGTGCATCAGACCCTGTTCGCAGACCCTTGAAACTTGAGTCAGAAGCTTGACACCCTGTTTGCTTTAAGTTCCCTATAAGATGTCAGCGTACTCCACCCTTTGACCTCGTAGTGATGAGGTCACAATAGATGTCACTGCTTGAAATGCGAGTTGTCAGTGCACTGGTTCTAACATGACAGAGCACTTTAAATCTGTGCAACCTCTCATATGGTACAATGTTACCACCGTACAAACTGTGACAAAGAAATGGACCTGTTGTTTCTCATCCTCAATGGTTCAGGTGAACAAAGCAGATATGAAATCTGACAGCGTGATTGACTTTAAAAATATGTAAACAGCTTTAAACAAACATCATCTGCTCTCTTTGATCAAGTCTGGAGCAGGCCAACAACCTGCGGGAAGTCCAGGCTATGAAGAGACTGAGCCCGCATACAAATATCATCCAGCTCCATGAACTGATTTTGTGAGTGTTGTCTGTTTTGAAGTTCATTTATTGCCCTCGAGCTGGTTTCACTTGGGATGTCATTACTAACCTAATCCAATATTTCAGTGACAAGGAAACTGGAACAGTGTCTTTGATTTGTGAGCTGATGGAGATGAACATCTATGAGTTCATACAAGGTCAGTCATAAAGTAATATTATGATGAACTGGAACTTGAACATAAAAAGTCTTACTTTAAAGTGAGTTCAAAGGTGATACCAGTTCTTTATTCTTACAGGGAGAGAAACACCACTGCCTGACCATACAGTAAAGAACTACATGTACCAGCTTTGCAAGTCCCTTGAACATATGCACAGGTATTTATTAACAAGCTTCAGTTCACATAAAGTGATAAAATAATATATAAAACATTAACTTTTTTCATTTCAGCTGTGGGATCTTTCATAGAGACGTGAAGCCCGAGAACATCCTCATCAAAGTGAGACACATCACATCGTCCTCTCCTGTAATATTGGTTTTCTGTTTTTTGAGTCACACACACTTAAAAGTACTTTTGTGCAACTTGCAGCAAAGCGGTCTGAAGCTGGGCGACTTCGGCTCATGTCGGAGCGTGTACTCCAAGCCCCCGCACACGGAGTACATCTCCACACGCTGGTACAGAGCCCCCGAGTGCCTCCTCACCGACGGATACTACAGCCTCAAGATGGACATGTGGAGCGCTGGATGTGTCTTCTTTGAGATCATGAGGTATACCTCACCATGGGGAAGGACCCAACAGTTGTTTGAGAGTTACAAATGTCATGTACAGTAAATGTTGGAACTATTTAATTGTTGTTAGAATTAGTTTTTGTATTTAGTTTACTAAAATTTGGGTGGTGTTGTTTATTTAATTATTCTACACGTTTTCTTAATTTAGAGTAGATTTTGGGTAATATTAATTTAGTAAATTTAGTTTTGCAGTTTTCCCATGGTGCATCACTTGTCATTTGATTATGTTTGATATTAGTTTATTTAGATTTTTTTTTGTTTTAGGACAAAAAGCCACTACAGTAAATATGTATGTTGTGTGTTCCAGTTTGAATCCTCTCTTCCCTGGGACCAACGAGCTGGACCAGGTCGCCAAGATCCACGATGTGTTGGGGACTCCAGATCACGGCATCCTCAAAAAATTCAAGCAGTAGGTGTCGCTTCCTTTATTAGTTGTGTTTTTATTGTTTGAATTTTTTTTTAAAAAGACTTCTCATGGTGTCTTAATGTTTGGCAGGTCCAGAGCGATAAACTTCAACTTCCCCCCTAAAAAAGGCAGCGGCATCTCCCGGTTAGTCCCTAATTGCCCGGCTCCAGCTCTGTCTCTGCTCTATCAGATGCTCGCCTATGACCCGGATGAACGCATCACTGCAGAAACCGCCCTGCGACACACATACTTCAGAGAAATCAGGTGCGCAGTGCAAATAGGTCTTGTTGCTGTCTGTCTCCTGTCTTTTGAATTTTTAAGTCTTACTTGCTCCGTCTCCCCCATCCTCAGGCTGGCAGAGAAGAAATCAGGACCTCTTCACAGACTGTCAGACACTATTGATGGAGTAGATGGTAGTGGGACACACAACTCCTTAGACCACATCTGGCGTCCGGCCAGAGTTGGAAAACAGCTGAGGGGAAGACACACGAGGCAAACGCCTTTAATGAGCGTGAGTCGAGAAGTGAAATGTCCAAAAGTCTTCAGGTCCACAGTAAATGTAAATCCAGGTCCCCACATCTAACCAGCTCTTTCTTTTACAGCACAACATGAAGCATGTAGCAGAGACCCTCATCAGAAGGAACATCCCCCATTATCCCGCGGAGCTGCCCAAGCTCAACATGGTAGTTCCAGGACCGCAGATCTCCTTCCCTGCCTCCACGATGCCTGTGTTCCCGGTCACCCACCGGGGCACGCTGCCAATCATCCCGTCAAAAAAGTGCCAGTCGAGGTTGGCCAAGGTAACCGCAGGAGAGCTACACTGACATCCGCCTTTCTATTTCTCTGAATCATTCAGTCATTTAGGCCTCCTGGGAGTCACATTAACCAGGAGCACTGAGCAGATCAAGTAAAGCTTTTTTTACTCTCCATGTTCTTTTAGGAAAACAAGAGAAACATGATATTTACAGAATCTAACATGTGCTTCAGTAGTGTTTTCTTAAGGGCTTCTTTGGCATTCAGGCTGCATTTCCTCTCCCCACAGCCCCGGGATGAGTCACACCGTGCAGCTTTCAAGACCTACTGCATGCCACCGCTGGATAGGAAACATGGAGGCTACTGAGAGCCAAAGACAGGGTTTGGTTCAGATTCACCTCTCGGAAACAGGATGGACCAGATAAACAGATTGTTAGGAGGACAATGTCTGGACAGGCCTGATGTCGGAATCTGTAAAGCAACACAAACATACAAAGGAAGACCGCCAAGCCTGTCAAGAGAAACTGATGAACCGTCACTGTAATGATCTGTAAAACCAACAATAACAGAGTCTGTCGTATTACGTTGGATTGAGTGTGTTATTTCCTCAGTTTTACTTGAGCCAGTCCGGTGGAACATGTTTAAATCGGTTTAGAAATATACTTCAGTCTGAGCATACTATACAAGATAAGCAATATGTGGTTTTCTTTTGTGAACAGCTGTTTACCAGAGCTGAAAAAAATGGTCTAAATAATTTGGTAAATGCATTAATACTCTTGGGGGGAAAACAGAAAGCATTGTAAAAGCAGGCAGACCTCATGGACTTGTTCTGGTTGTATTGTGTCATGCTCTTGGGATCTCTTTAGGAACCGGTCTTGACTTAATACGTTCACCTCCCTTCACTGTGATGCACTGTAAAGGTCACATGTTCATTGATGTTTAAGTTGGCAGAATGAGAACACATGTATGTTATTGTAGTCGACATGTGAGGTACATTTTGACACATTTCATATGAACAAAAAAAAAAACCAACAGGAGGATTTAAGAGTAACAGAAAAAAATAAACATTACAGGGGATAATAACGTCCTCGAGGGGCGAAGTCAAAGTCCAGAGACCTGGATCCATACTACTCTTTGTGAGACCGCAACAGTGATTTCTGAGTCCCGCCACGCAAGCAGATTCTCAGTCTGAAATGTTGAAAAATACACAGTGCAGTTTAAACTGTGATTTTGATTCAAAGTCACAGAGCACTAAAGAGGAAACACCTTAAAGCAGGTTGAACTTCTTTGAACAGGCGCAGAGTCCAGTTCAGAGAACTCCTGAAGACAGACTCATCTGCTTTAGTCTTCCAAAAGGTGAACAGCAAAAAAAAAAAAATGAAGTGCTCCTAAAGGAAATATTTTCAAGGCCTTTGGTCCAACTCTTATCAACATGAAAGGCCCAAAATAATTCCCCTTTTAAATAAACTTTGTAAATGTAAACATCTGCTTTTTAACAGTCAGAAAATGCAGATTTAATGAGAATTGTTTTTAATGTTTGTTTAAGATGTAGTGTGACCCGTCCCCTCTCCTCACTACCTGAAACTGTGGCTTTAAAGAAAGCACAGTGTCCTTCAGAGCTCAAAGCTCTTTAGATTTACCCGCTGAGCCGTGTGTGAAGGTTACACAAAATACCCCTGAAATAAATGTGACGCATCAATTGAATGATGTCATCACTGAACCCGCACATGACTTCAGATTGTTAAAGAATGCCGATGTCAGGACTGAAAAATGTTGAAACCTATTCATAAAAATGTGTGATCTTTAAAAATAATAATAATAAAGTGGGAATTCTTTAATTTAATGCAAATAAAAATATACTCATTTGCTTCGCCAACCAGTCGAGGTCACTGAATCCTTCAACAATGATTGTTTATCAAACAGAAATAAAGCTCATGATTCATGCAGCTGTGTCAAAAGGCAGACTCTTGTGTCCTCGTGAAATCCTTCTGGTGTGTTTTCTTACTAAATTCCTTAAAAGGAAGAAAACTGCAGGATATAAAGTTCCATGGAAAATTAGCTCATAGCTAACTCTGGTACTGCTAATAGGCTGTACACTGTCCCTGTCAAAATAAACAAACAAATAAATAAATGTCTCATCCCTTTTTTTTCCATAACTGAGACATAATGAGATCTTGTTTCAATGTTGAGATTTGGATGTTGCAGCTCTGTGATGTTCATGCAGTACAGAGAGGTGAACACAAAAAGAAGAAGAGCAAACAGTGTATTCAAGATTATTTTAATATTATTAATATGTATACTTTAGGCTTTAGAAATATAACTATTAATGACAAACCTTCCACTGGAGTAATGGTAGTTTGCTTAGGCCCCCAACAAATCAATTAATTACAATATACACATTATGGTACAGAGCAGATCTGAAATAATATTAAAATAAATGCTCAATAGATAAAGGTTTTAATAGTTTTTTTTTTTTTTCTTCACCTACTGTATTAGCCATCTGTGAGTTCTGAGCACACCCAACAATGTAAAGCCATTTCCTCTAATAAAACTAATTTAAGTGCAAAATTTCTTCTTTCTTTAAAAAGACTATGATTGCAGCATCCAGCTTTATAGATTCAGATTTCAAGACTGAGGATGTTAAAGCCGAGTGCAACAAGGCAGTCCTCAACCCTCTTCTTTTTTTTTTCTTCCGCTAGAGAGGTTTTTAAAAAACAAACAACAAAATAACAAAATCAGTGCAAAGTCGTTGAGATGGGGAGATTCTAAGAAGAAAAGACAGCTGGGTTAATGTGGATGGATGCAACAATTTTCAGATGCCAACGCGCTTGATCACTAAAAGGATAGTTCACCTAAAATTCAAATTTGAGTCACCAACCATTGGCGAGTAACCGCGCTACCACAAAGATTATGAACATTAAATGAACTATCCCTTTAACCTCAAGCCACAATTGAACGGTTTGCATCTAACAAAGCCAAGCTTTATTTCCAGAGGGTCACAGTCTGATGAGCGTCGACATGAAAGAAAGATTTTTAAAAAAATCTAAAATGTGTTTAAAAAAAAAAAAAACTGCAGAGAACATAGTAGCACATTATTCCACAATTGCACGCCTTTTCTTGCTTCATTCCTCCTCTAGGTCAAGTGAGTGATATAAAACGAAAAAACACAAAAGCCATTAACAAAAAAAAAAATCAGGGAGGGAGGGAGGGGTGTAAAAGAAAAAAGGAAAACTTGCAATGCTTGCAGGGTGAAGAGCAGCATCAGACTCTGGGTTGCAGGGTTCTTTAGCAGCAGAAATATTGTGGCTATACTACTGTTCCACTGGGAGAGCTGGCTTGGTTTTGGGATGACAATAAACCCTGGAAAAAGGAAAACAAGGAGATTTGCATTGGGAAAGTACACAAACTGAAGCAAAAAAAAAATTAAAAAAATCAAGCAACAAATAGCTCATTAATAATTCTCCTCTAGCCTCTTCTTCTCCACATGGCGGCCCCCTCACTTCATTAAAAGCCGGCACGGCAGCAAAGTGGACGACATGCAACAGTGAAACACTAATGGAGTCTTTTAAAGAGTTTCGCTGGATCAAGGCACTTGTAATTTAAATGGCCACACACATTTTTCAAATAAGCCTTTTTAAAAAATAATGTATTCTTTCTATCAAAAGGCCCTTTTCATGGTTTCATCGCGTCATTGTAGCTCTTAACACGGTCAATTCATTACATAGGAAATGAGGTTTGTTGGGAAATCTTTCAATTTAATGCACCTTTTAGAAGAACGTCAACATCTGCACCTCAAAGGTTTTGTTAAGATGCTTGTATTATTCAGATTTTATACTTTTATTGTACAAATCGCCCTTTTTTTAAACCCTCATCCAGACAACACGAGTGTGCTCCACAGCACAGGGCTTTGATTGTGTTCACTTAGGATACAACGGAGGAAATCTTTGGGCTTGTTTTGCCCGTTAAGTAGTTCAAGTCTGACTCTGTTTGGAGACCCTCAAACTGAGAGCCGGACTATCATGTGCCTCGTTCTGGCAAAATCACTACAAACACAGACAAAAGAGAAATGGACAAGGATGGATTCACATTTTTAAAAAATGTAAGCATGTGAGACACTGCAGACATTCTCCGGGCTGATACAAGAGCAGCTTTGCATAAGAGCTGAAATATGAGTGTATGCAGATGACTTCTTGGCTAGGCTGCTATGCATTGTGGGATGATAATGATGAACCAACCAATGAACACACTCCATATGGATTAACGTCTTCTTTCCCCTCTCAGGTCTACACGAGGAAATCCTCCTTATCAAAAATTATTTTATAACCAGGCTGTCATGTTTTCATAGCGTTGGTTATTTTTTTAAACTTAAGCATTAAAAAAGGTCTTTCATTTAAAAGCAGGTGTACATAAAACAAAGTCTGATATGTTTCTTTCCTGCAGAGAGTGAACACCTGACTACAAAGGCTAAAAATGCTTTTCCAAATATCCAGAGTTTCTTTAATGCTTTCAGAATATATCTTTGTATTTAGTCACAGCGCACCAGCTGATTTTTAGTACAGCTAAAGAATCGACAGGTGTGTCATGTTATCACTTTCACTCTCCCCCCCCATTTCCTACATTAAAAAGAACTTACCACTTTGCCTGGCCTCGCCCATGTGCAAATAAATCCCTCCTGACAAGCAGTCACTAAACAGTCCTCTAAAAATATGAGTACAGTCAGTCTCTCGTGTGCTATCTTTTTACAGATGAGGGGCTCGAGGAGGGGCACATCCTCCATGCGTGGGCACAGCAGCGTGCCAAGAGTCTTGGCAGGGTCCGATTTGGTTTTTGTCAGCAGGTTGAGCTTGTCGCTGCTCTTGCTGCTGATGTGCCCCATGCTGTGGTTGCGTTTGTGGTCCTTCTCGTGGTGGCGCTCTTTCCGATCGTGAAGCGACAGTGTAGCAAACTTACTGACGCCCGTAGCGATGGCGCTGTCCATGATACCACTGCTGATGCCGCCGCCACTGGCAGCCTTGTTGGTATTGTTTGCTGTTGCCGTGGTGGTGGCGGCTGAATGGGGTAGGCTGTTGGAGCGCGGCAATGTTGTCGAGACGGAGTTTACGCCAGGAGTATTAGCACCGCTGTTGTTTCCATTAGTAGTGTTACTAGAGGTGTTAGTGATTATCGTAGCACCCGCTGGGGGGCTTGTAGCATTCATCACATTAGTATGTGTCCGTGTCCGTGAGAGCGGAAGATGAGGGAAAAGGATGTCCTCGGTGAGGTCCCATAGGCACAGCTGAGTGTCCTGACCCACTGAGCCAAAGCGGTACGTGACGCTAACAGGCCGGCTGTCGGTGGAGTTGCGCTTGGAGAGTCGAGACTGCGTGCTGTTGGCCCGGTCCCGCCCAAAGTGGATCATCTGATCCTGGAAGTCCTCATCGCTGCCGCTGAACTCCATCGGGTCGCTCTCCTCTACACTGGTGGTGTAATGGTCGAACGCCACCACGCTCACCCACGACTTGTGCCCGTGACCTCGGGCGATGACTCTGCAGTCCAGGAACGACCACACAGTCACTAGATCGTCCTCTCCGCCTGCAACTATGT